ACCAGTGTTTTGAGTGCTGTTCTGCATTATAAAATGCATTGCAAAATCTTTTGCATATAGAAAGGCTTTAGATCAATGCATTGTTTCTTCTAGCTGTAACTCAGCATAAAAGACTACTTCCCAAAGCCTCCAGCTGCCTTCTGTGCTGGCAATCATGGAAAAGCAGGGAAAGGAGGATTGTTGTAGTGAACAGGGACAGCAGTGGATAGAGAAGTTAAAATAGATGTTTTACTGTTTTGAGTTAGACTCAGGCTTCTGTATCTTTTGGAAAATTCCTCTAAAATTTAAAACTGAGAAACTGAATCCATATCACCTGAGCATAGCGTCAGGTTTTTCCTGAAGTGGCAAAAATATTGCTTTTGTTCTGCTGGGCTTCAGTTTGGTACTGAAGTGAATAAATCCATTCCAGTCTTTGTCCGGGTGGGCAACACATTTCCCAATAGATGGCCATCCACAGCACATAGAGTAGTTGATTCCCTCAGTAAATGGTGAGAACAGCCTCATCTTCTGTGTTTGCTGTGAGCTGGTGGCAAACTGCAGCCATCAGCCTGAGTGCTTCAGCCAAGCCTGGCTCCACTCAATTTGTGGCATATGGTTTCATCTTGCTGTTTAAAAAACAGGAAAGTGTTAGTGGGCTGGTTTCATGATACCACAGAGCTGCTCTCACTGCTGTGGCAAGCAAAGCCCTTCTAAACCTTTGCTTTGGGTCAGGTCCCTGCTGTACCACTGGCTGTCAAGCCACCAAGGTGTCCCTGGCCTCCAAAACTGCACAGCTGAATACTATTGCCCTTGTTAATGACAAGGATGGTGGTGTCACAAAACAGAGTGCCAGGACAATGCTGCCTGGATGACAGTAGCATAAGGTAGCATAAAGTAGCATAAACTTAAATTCTCTCAATGCCAGCAGCCCTTCAGGCAGCAAGTTACTGTTGTGTAAGGGCATCAAACAGTCCAGCTGTGCATGCTGCAGAGCACCTTCTGCTGCTCACTTGACAGGAGGCAGGAGCACTGCCCTGCTTGCTTGCCTGCCTGTGCCCCTTCACAGAAAAACACCAAAGGGCATGTGAGGGGCTGGAGAATAGCACATTAGCTCCTTGACTTGCTTGCACTGGCTAGTTTAGGGAATTTGATCACCTAAAGTACTCTTAAGTACATAACATAAGTCAGTAGAACAATTCCACTTATAACTGGCTGGTTGTGGTGTGCCCTGTCTGTCCCTGCATGTGATGCATTTGCTTTGGTGTCTGCTAGCACAAGATTAACATCTTCCATTTGCATAGCTTGCCTGTAACCCCCTGGATAAATTTAAATGTTTTGACAAAGCACTAGTAAGGGCTACAGCTTAAACTGTGACTGTGGAGAATGCATGCTCACTGCTAGAGGTCTTTGCTACACTGAAACAGAAGATAGTAGGAAGGATGTTGGGAAATCTGAAGTAAGTGTGATAGAAGTGAAGTCAGATCTGATGTGAATGCTATTTTGAGAGTCTGTTTCCTGATGACTTGTCTCTCTGATAACATCTGGTGCAGCCAATGCAAGTCAGTGGCACGGCACCAGTTGAGGCACCAGTTGACATTGGCAGGAAAGTGGGGGCTGTGTCCTTTTCCATCCTGGAGACCGGATGCCCCTGTTGCTTTTGCATTGCATGTGTTTATCTTATAAAGTTCAATTTTTCTGACTCAATTTTTTAGCTGCTGGTAGAAGGTCTCCTGCCCTGAGGAGGAAGCCTGCCCTGAGCAGGAGCACTGGCAGCCCACGGGGTCCCACAGCCCCACCAGTTGCCCCAGGCACAGGGCTTAGTCTGCCCCCATTGTATTGGGTCTGGCTGGACCTTCCAAACGAGAGCCCACCCCTCCCCTCTTCTTCCTGTTTCCACCTTTTATTGCTGAGTGTGACATCACATGGTATGGAATATCCCTTTGATTGGTTTAGGCCAGCTGCCCTAGTGATGTTTCTCTCCTCACCTTTTGCCCACCCCCTAAGAGGGTTAGAGAAAGGCCTAATACTGTGCCACTGCTGCTCAGCAGCAGACACAACACTGGTGTGATAACACTGCTGTTCCAGCTACAACTGCAGAGTACGGCACTGTATGGGCTGCTGCTGGGAAAGTTAACATTCCAGCCAGACCCAATACACCCATGCCCCTTCCCATTTGGGAATGGCAGTAAGGCCATTTTCATCTCTTCTAGTGAAGAAGTGGGATAGCGTGGCACGTACAGGTGTGGGTCTCTGGGAGGATTTTAAGTACTAGCAAATTCGGGTATCCAGGGCCGTATGTGGGAATTTTCACTTTGGAATTGGGAGCTGAATGTCCACCTCAGTCCTTCTGCAAGAGCTTGAGTTTCCCCAGAGCACAAGGGGGGCTGCTGCAGGCCCAGAAGTGCTGAACAATTCAGTTGATCTCTGGAGTGAGCACAGCTAACCTCCCATGAGGCTCCGCAAGGAGGGCTGCTGCTGCTAACCTTGCATCTGCTCAGGAACACAAGTGTGTGCCTCACCTTTGTGTAAATACTCAGCCTTTGTGCTGACTTGGGAGAAATTTTTTCACGCAGACCTTCTTCCACCTCTCCCCCCAACCCCCTAAAAAAAATCTGTCTCAGATAATTTTCATCTTCTTTATGATACTCCTTTAAAATTAATGACAGCAACAGCTCCTCAGTGGTGGAGCTGATGGCCCATTTGATTTGTTTGTGTTGCTGTGGCAGTGCTGGTAATAATTAACATGTGGGTTTGGGTCTGTGCAGCGTCCAGGCTTTTGTTTGAATTGGCCACTGCGCTCCCTCCATGGTGTTTACACGAATCCACCAACAGCTTGTTGCTGGCGCTTGTACGCAGTTCCTTTTTGTTCTCTGGGACTGAAATCTGCCCTGTGCAAGAGCTCCAAGCACTCCATGCGGCTGCGTTTTCTCATGGCAAGGTTCAGGGCCCAAGCGCTACTTTTTAGGAGAGCCCAGTAAAATTGTGTAGTGCCATCAGAACCTACAGAACCCCGACCCTTGGACATCTGGAGCCCCTTTGCCTTCATACAACTGGTTACCCAAGGAGCAGTCCTGCTATGTGAAACTGCAGCAGCAGCTCTCATTGCTTCAAATGTCCCATGGGGTTCGTAACCCAGCGTTTGGGTTAACGCGCATGAGTGGATGTCCTGTTCATGGAAGCGCTGAGACAGCCCAGGTTTATGGGGTTGACTGCAACCTAGCTTATTCAGCTTCATATGTCACAGTGCAAACATTGACTAAATAAATTAGTAAGGAGTGTTTTTTCTTCTTAAGACTAATCTTAAATCTGATTAGTACAGCTACAAATGCAAGATTATTGTGTTCAGAAAGGACTCAGCCATTTAGCAGATGCCTGATAAAGCCAGCTTCTGCTACACAATTCAAACTGGAGAGCACTGCGGTGCCTTAGAAGAGGTGGCACAGAAATGTGCCTCCCTCAGCAGAGGTGACGGTGCCTGAGGTCCTCCACCAGCTGTGTCTGTTGCACTTGTCACTTAAAATGTGGGTGTGTGGCAGGCTGTTGCAAAGGGACTGGTTAGCTTGGAATGTGGTGTACGTATTCAGGAACTGTACTGGTAGTTGGTTTGGGTAGTCTGTCTGTCTGTCCATGGGTTTTAGTGTTCTACAGCTGTGCGCATTAGTCATAAAAATGTTTTATCCTCTTTCCTGGTACTGTGGTGGGGGAAAACCGTTAATATAGGGGATGGGGAGGGAACACACACTGAGCCTACAAGCAAATGGCAAGAGGTTTCTTGGCAGGAGATTAATGGAACAGGCTATGGTTGCTGAAGGAACAGAGAAACCTCTCCATTGCCACTTGCTGTGACCTTGGGCATTGCTTATTGCCATCGTGGGTACAGCTGGCAAGCTTTTGTTAGGTTTTGTTTGCTCTGATTTTCACATTAATGCAGCAGCTTTCAGGGAGAAGGTTACCCTGAGCCGTGCGGAGGCCTGTATTTTACAAATTGCCTGGCAGGATTTCTTCCTGGAGAGCAGCTCTGGGGCAGCTCCCCTGCACCCCGGGGGCTTGGCACAGGAGCCTCTCATCGTGTTGCAACAGTGAGCTGCTCCTCCTGCCTGCCCAGCTGCTCCCATGCAGGAGAATTAAAGAGAGCCTCCTGTGAGCAGTGAAGTCTTGAGGAGTTTTCAAGCCAAGAAAGTACGTTGGCTCTTATGAAGCATGAAAACCCAGAGCTCACCACAGCCTTTTGAAAAGTGCAGTGCTCTGTGGCGCTTGGGAGAAGCATAGTCAATAAAACAGTAATATAAATAATAAATTAAAAAACAAACAAAACAAAACACTGCAAAGCCATTTTGCTCATCCTGTGAGCACAAGCAAGGGAATTTCAGCCAGCCACAACAAGACGGGTACTTGTACAGCAGACATCCTCACCACCAGCAGCTGGGCTTCTGGTGCTGGTGGTTATTTTTGTATATAGAAGGGAGCTAGCACCAAAAACAAACAAACAAACAAACAAAAAAACACAACAGAAGCTAAGTACACCAGTTTTCTTTCTGACGGTGGGGGGAGGCAGGACAGAGTGGCGGCTGCTTGAATTGTGCAAAGTCAAAGTGTAGCCCTGCTGCCACAGCCTGTTTTGGAAACCTGGTGTGTCACAGCTCAGCAGAGAGAGGGGACAGTGAGGGACAGGCCAAGCGACCTGGCCAGGGTCAAAGCGGGTGCAGTGCTGGATGTGTGGTTGCAATGTGTCTGCCCCGAGGCAGCCCAGGGAGAGCTGCAGTGATGGGTGGGGAATTGCTGCTCCAAGCTTCCTGTGCTGCTTCCATTTCTATCTGTGTCCCAGTTGGTGAACACCAGCAGGGTCGTACCACAAAACCCAACTTTCAGACCTGGTTTCACTCTGCAGGGCTGATGATGCTCCCAGAAACCACTGCCAGTGGCTGAGGACCACCCAAAGGAGAGGCCAAGGTCTTTCCCCATGGGCTTCCTGAGTTTGGCTTACCCCTAACATGTTGCTGTCACCCTTGTACTTTTCCTAGGCTGCTGCCAGCCCGTGGCCAATGAGCCCACCTCTCCGAAGAAGGCAAAGAGCATCCTGGAGCGCCACAACTTGGAGAACTGGTCACCTTCTCCAGAGTGGACCACCGTGAGGGTCATCCCTGAAGAGGAAATGACAGAGCACAACCTCCTTGCTGTTCGAGTCATGGTTACCAGTGATGCAAGCAGGTAGTTGAAAATACTAATAGGCCTTTAAAAACAAAAAAAACCTGATTTTTTTTCTCTGCAGCACTGATGAAAAGTATAGCACATACAGCTGAGGGAGGGAAGAGAAAAAAGGAAAACCTCTCAGGAAAAAAAAAAAAACAAAACCAAAAACAAAACAAAACAATTTTTCTTTACCACAATCATAAATCCCCCAAGACATATGACTCATTTTGCAGGAAATCTTCAAACATTTGCATCCCACACAGGGGCGTGAGTCAGAGAAAAAAATGTTTACCCCAATCAACCTAGGTTCAGCTATTTGTTTTTCCAAAAAATGTCAGTTCATGGATTAGGGCACTGGGTGTGTTGTGGCAAAGGTGCATCCTGCGGTGTGGTTGCCTGCTACCTGGGTACCATGGGGCAGCTCCACAACCTGAGTGCCACTCTGGACATTAGATGGCCTGCCCATCCCAAAGACATCCAAAATCCTGTGACTCTTGGAGAGCTGTCTGAGGAAGTCTGATCTCCGTGTAAATTTAGAATATATTAGTTTTCTGGGTGGGATTCTGTGGGAGTTCACTCCAGCCATAATAATGATTAGATTGTTGTCTTTCAAGTACAGTAGTTTTCCTTACTGAGAATTAAAAAAAAAAAAAAAAAAAAAAAAAAAGCTAACCCAAAGTCAGCTGTTGCAAACAGAGAAAACAGAGAAACAGAGAGCTATTACTCTGAGGAAACTCACATAGACTCTGGAAGCCCTTCAAACACCTATTCATGGTGTTGTGTATAGGTTGTGGAAGGTAACATTTTTGGAAATTAAACTTTATGCTGTTCCCTGTGGGAGTTTTTAAATAATATTTGTGCTCCACCACATGTTTGGATATTCTTTGGGGAAAGGATAACTCTTTGCTGGGGCTCCTCCCCTGCAAGAAAAGGAGAGCTTGGGGAAATGTTTTCTGCCTGTTGGAGAGATCTCGCTGCCATATAGTGGCTTGCTGCAGAGTGCCTGCTCCTACCCACACTAATACCCTGAGGCTCTTCATGCCCATTGCACTTGGGCAGTGTGCAGAGATGGGAGCCAGCTAATCCCCCTGATCTGAGGGATCAGATCCATTCCCTCCAGCTGTGACAGTCCTGTGTTCTTCACAGAGAGGCCCCTGCTTTCTATCCAAGCTGACGTTGCCGCTGTCACCAGGATAGCATGTGCCAGCCTCTCTCACTGCCTTCTTTTGGGGACTATGTGTTTGCGCTGCTCCTGCGGGTGAGCCATTGCCTAACAAGGGGGGGATGAGTGAAATAGCAAGTGACAAATGATATTGCAAGGTCTGAGTGAGCACAGGGCAGGAAAAATGACTAGCTCGGTAAAATAGCTTTTCAATTCATGCTTTAGGTACTTGTGAATAATGACTGCCTATCAAGCAGCGATCAGAGGACAAGCCTCAACCTACAGCACTTACATCCTTGCCAACCAAGGGAAATAAACATTTGCTCTTTTAAAACAGAAATGTGTCGATCAGCACTAATGGAATGTATTTTTCTTTTGTGTGGCACTCTGCCCAACCTCAGTGTGATATCTCACAATCCGGAAGTGATCTCAACTATCAAAGGATTCATATATATGCGTGTGTGTGTGTGTATGTGTACACATATACGTACATGCCACAACCAGAAGACTAAGTCCAAGGTCTCCCAGTACCAGTTTGATCTGGGTAAGGCAGAGGTACAGGACTGGTCAGTGCTACACGTATGGCATGTGCACTAGCTTTATACTGTCTGCAGCCTGTATCTGATCTGGTCAAGGGTTACTCCCTGCTCCAGGCACAAAATCAAGCCATCAGAAACTTGTTGCCTAACCTGAGAGATTTTATTTCAGCCTCTGCTGGTGGGCAGCGGTCCCCAGCCACTGCCTTTCCTTTAGCGCTTTTTCCTCCTGTTCTGTCTCTGTCTTGTGGCTGTTACAACGAATCTTTACTTTCTACAAGGCAGCACTATGTAAATGTGACACAGCTTTCTCCTGCCACACGAACAGGACTACTCAGAGCTTAAGCTCCTCTTTTCAAAGTAGAGCTATTAATCATCTCAATAAATCTATGAATTGGTTTAGCAGTACTCTTTTCATTAAAAATGGGCCAAGTCATATGGTGGCAGACTTGTTTATGATACTGGGAATGCAGTCACGTCAGAAGGCCTAAAAGTGCGTGTTTCTTACAGTTTGGCCTTTAAAAAAATCCCTTATTATCGAAAAAAAGGAGAATAACCTTTGCAGGTGGTTATTAGTCCCACCCAGAGGCAAGGTCAAAATGTGTGTGACTCTGAGTACTCTCTTTGTGGCAGGTTGACTTCAGGTTTTGTGCTGAACATGGGTATGAATCTGGGTAGCAGAAATTTTACAGGAACGTGTGCCTTCTGAAATGTCCCACTTTCTTCCCATCTCTCCTTCTTTTCCCTGTAGCTCTGAGCTGGAGTCTGAGTTTAACGGTGATTCCTCCAACTCTGAGGTGGGTGAAGGAGAGACCTCGCTGCTGGAGCTCCCTGCCTGTCCAAGCCCCCCCCGGCGGTGGGCATCACTCTCCAGGAGCCCTGTGGTGCCAGAGGAAAGCCACAAAGCATCCAAAGTTGCTGATGGTAAGCGGTATCCCTGCCTGGGGGAATGCCAGTGGCTTCTCCTGGGGGCTGAAGTCAGCGTTGAGGGGGAGGTTTTGAACTGGAGGCAGCTGTCAGCAATATGGCTAGGTTTTACCTCTTAAGTGTCTTCATTTGGGGGGATTTCTGCCTTTTGGGTGACGTAACAGTATTTTACAGGCTCCTTTCTTCTTTACTCACTGGTTGAATCTTAAACGCTTATGCAGCAGGTGGCACTAAAATGCTCAGAGTGAAAGTTTGCTCAGAGGCACCGCTGGGTGGTTTGCTCCTGTGGCATGGGCAGCTGCCGGAGCAGTGCCTTGCTCTGCCCACGTTGGCTGATGCAGCGGTGTCATGGTGCACAGGAACCTGGAGGAGCTGTGCTTCCTGCCCAACTTGCAGTGCCAGGTGGGTGCTTTCCCACCAGTAAAACACTGGGATGTTATTAGCAGCCTGCGCAATATCTGTGACGTTGGCTACGGGTGATTTTTGGAAGCACTGGAGTGCTCTGCTTTGATCAGTTTATATTTCTATCAGTAGCTGCTTGAGCTATTCGTGTCTACAGAAAGCATACCAAGGAAAGGATATAGCTAGTAGGGAGGCAGCAAGAGGTTTAGGAGCAGTCTGCCTCCAACTGGAAACTCCTTTCTGGAGCTGGAGGTCAGGCCTAAAAGGTGGACTAAAAACAACCAAAGACATGCATCTGCAGGAAGTGAGGACTGCCATGTTTTAGGACTATATGGTAACATGTTGAAGCTATGGTGAACCTTCTGCTTCAGAAAGCATCCGCAAAACTTTGCCAGGCTCATGGTCTGCTGGGTTTCTCCCCTGGGCAGAACAGCGTGGGCCTGCATGCATCTCCTGAGCTGGCAGCTGTGGTGCTACAGCCACGGACCTGCACTAAAGCTGCTCTCTGCTTTTTGGGCAAGAGCAGTCATGCTGATACAAAATGTGGGTGGAGCAAGGGAGCAGCTGTTTGGATGGTGTGTGCAGATGTGCAAAACTGTTTTTTGGGGTTCTCCCCAAAAAAGCTCTTTGCCTACAGCCTTACATGCAGCATTGATTTATGTCTGCATTCTCAGATCCTCCCACGCACTGACAGCTTATGGCTGGACCCTGAGAAACTTCATGGCATTTTGCATTTGTTAATTACATTTGGTGTTATCACTCCTCTTTTCTGTGGAAAAAGGCTTTGTTGAAACCAGCTTTTATTTCAGATCTCACTGGTGCCTGAACAGGGGTGAGTTTCCAAAGACTGTTAGACATGAATAGAGTTCTTGGATTTCAATGTGGTATACTGACTTAATCTCATATTTAAAATAAAGGGGCGACGTTCAACACCACAATGTTCTAGGCATTCCTGGCAGATTTTTATAAAAGAGGTTTTAGGTGGTGCTAAAATGTCCAAGTCCTTTGATTCATCATCACCCAAAGTGCCTTGGCATGAGGTTTGGGCAGCACTGAAAGGGCTGCTGTAAGGATCTGGCTTCTTTCCTTGCACAAGGAGCCTTCTGCCAGGCTGTGTCGCAGTGATGGAAGAGCTGAGAAATTATTTTGCTGCAATAAAGAGCCATCAGCATTCATTTCTTCCAGTGCCCCACCAACCCCAAGCCCATATATGCATTCTAGTCGGAACAGAAAAGAGGGGGGTTTTACAAGGTGATTTAAATGGACTTTGAATAAAGAGGCCTTGTTTCAAAGGCAGAGCCAGGCTTCCCTTTGGAACATCTGTCTGGAGTGCTAGTTTTGAACCGCCACAATCCAGCCCTGGCTTTCTCCTGTCCTGCTTTGCTGACATGAGGTGCAGCGGGCAGGCATGTTGGAAAACAGCACCAGCATGAGGGGAGCCTCTCCTGGGGCTGCTCTGGTGCTGTCATGTTGCTCGGGCACTGCACAGCCTGGCAGGGAATGGGGAGCTATGGTTTTGTTCTCTGGCTTGTGCTGTGCTAGCTAACGATGTCCCTCTCCGGTTTCTGTTTAGCACTACAGAGAGCCAACAGCTTTCACTCCACTGCGTTAACTAAGTATCAGAATTGGAGAAGAAAAATCCAAACAAGTGAGTACAGCCCAAGAAGAGATTGCATCTTCCACTTGCACTATCTCCTGTTTTTTTTCTCTCAAATTCTTCCTGTCCTTTCCTTTAACATTTTTTGTGATTTTGACTCATGAGGTAAGGAGACAAGAGAGCTAAAACACAACAAATCTTTCTCTTTTTTTTTTTTTTTCATTTTCTTGTCCTGAAAGGATCAAATTCCTTTTTCACGTGATTGCTTATTAGTCATGTGATAGGTTATTACCTATCTTTGTGACTAATAAGGTAATCCATATATCATCTATCTGTCCATATCTAATTCCTATTATATCTCCTACTCTTTTACCACCATAGCTCCCAGAGAATAAACCATTAAGTAAATCTACCAATGACTCTATGACAAGTTAACAACTCTATGTAATCCAGGCTTTTGTACAGGAGAGACAAAGCCTCACAATACTGTACATATGTCCATATGTGCTTTTATGCAAACACTGCCATTTCAACGCACCTGCCCCAAACCAGTCTTAAGCTTTTGGGCCACATGGAGTGGGTGAGGAAAGGCAGGTGGCGAGTGGAGGCACCTCATCCCCAGCAGCTGTCCTCCAGAAGGATGGAGCCTGGGGCTGCAGGAGCTAGGGGTGCCGAGTGCTCCTGTTCCCTCTCCGGTGTGGGTGCAGTCTGTGTGTGTGTGTTGGATGAGCTCAGCACTGGTGGGGTTTCAGAAGTGGCGTTTCAATTCTATTTCCCACAATGGGAGCTGTGAAAGTCAGCAGCTCGGGCCTTGTGTGAATGTGCTCTTGGTCATGGTCCTGCATAGGCATCTGCAAAAGGAGTAGTGCTGGCAAGTTATATCTGCCGTAATTGTGTATGCTAAGCTCTAATTTATCAGCCAATAAGGTGTGCCTATATCACAGAGCATGTATTCTGCCCTTAGACCTATGTGCACTCATTGCTTTTGGTTCAGTGTATCAATAGGCCTAATATTTTGAGCACTGCATACCAGACATGCTCCTGGAGGTGTCTATTTGTATATCCTCTACTGTTTGCTGAAAAAAACAGGTGATGTTTCTGTTTGCTGAAGAGGAAAGAATACTAACAGCCCTCCCAACATGAGCATTACTGGTTCTTCTCCTCTGACAGTTTCACTTGATTTAGGCTGACCCATCTCTGCCCAAGGGATTCAAACAGGAATGTACTGAGCTCAATAGCAATCAGGTCTGTGTGTGATTCACTTGCAAAACGCAGGGTGGTCACTCCTCATAGCCAGGGCGATGTCAAAGTGATCTTCCTCCTGAGCTGTGTCCCTGAGATGAGCCAGATGTGTTCCCAGTCACATCTCTGTTGCTTTTAGCAGGGCTGCCTGCCTGCCTCAGCACAGCCCCTCCGCAATTATATGCTGTGCCTCTCCTGAGTCCCCTGGGACTCACTGGTACCTGCAGGATTGTTGATATCGGTGTGGAGCTGGATGCATTTACCAACACCTCAAGTCCACCCAAAACTTGTTTAGAAACAGTTGTATTTGTTAGACTGAGCTGTTGACAGCCCGTAAGTATGAAGCATAAATACATAGCGGTGGAAAGAAGGGGTTTGTACATGTGACTGAGCACCACAGTCTCCAAGCATGCAGACAGCTGGCTTTTGGGAACTGGTGGTGAGAGTTGCTCCACCTCAGGCCTCAGCTTCCCTCTGCAACTCTGCCCTCTGTGGGGGATTTCTGCAGCTGCCTCAGTCTCAGCTGCCTTTGGAGAAGTTTCTTGTCATGGGAACAGAGCTCATAGGACACCTGTGCTAATTATGGGACCAATGTTCAAGCAGAGGTATGTTGGCTTGCTTGGTTTGACTGCAAAAAGAAGCTTCAAGATTATTTGCAAGTATCCATTACAGGAAGATTTTTTTTTTTATGTCTCAAAAAAGGGGGCAAGATGCATCTCTGTCTTGGCACCAGCCTTACAACTAAGTCAGATGCCCTTAGCTGCACACTAGCACTTTCACTACGGACTTCATGGTCCCTTGAAGGCTTCTGTTGCCACGTCTGGGATAACTCACTAAATATCAGTAGAGGATACATGGGGCTATTTCATAGTCTGTAGAAGATGTTCCCACCAAGCTGGACTTCATCAAACCATCACACCCTGCTATTGCCCTTAGATGTACGTGTGTCTTTGGAGAGGCAGCTGTGGCAGATGGGCAGGCAGAAAGGCCTCGTTGGGGTGGCATTCCCTGGGACTGGCTGTACCTCCAAGGTGCAGAGAAGGACTCGCTGCTCTCTGCAGGACCTCCCTGGAGCAGCCAGGTGGGTATCCTACCCCAGAGGACGCCTCTGCCCCAGATGGGCTAGCTGGTCAGGGTGCTCTCAAAAAATCTTGTGGCATCTGTCTGCCTCAGTGTTGTATTTGAGCGCTGTGAAACACTGTGGGGATTGGCTTATACATCAAGTGTTGGATTTACTGAAAGGGTAGATTTAAAATTGTTCCTTAGTTGATCTCAGTTCTTAAAAAAATCTAATAAAAATAGGGCTTATTCCAGATATGAGGGGAAAAAAGACAGACTGTGGAAGGAAAGACCAGAGGTAACTCGTAATTTTGATTAATTTTCAGCTTGTTCTCAGCAAGTGTATTACTTAATTGTTTGCCAATTAATTTTCTCATAATTTTATTAAAGCCTTCCTTATGCCTTCGAAGGGCTCTAGAGGGAGCTAGAAGTCTTTGAGAGGAAAGCAACATGCTATATGAATGTGTCTGAACCTCAAGTATACTCTTAAATGATGTGTAAAGTATATTCAGCATATACTGGGAACAGAATAAAGGCATTTTTTACTCTCTGGAGGAACACTAAGTCTTAGTTTCTGTATTTAATCCACTTAATACTTAGTTACAAGAATTCATATGATCATCAGTCACATTAAAGAAAAATCTGTCTCCTTTTCAAACTTATTTCCCAAAACACGTATGTTTCATAAACAGCACGAGGTATGCAGCCAGAGAAAGGAAATTGGTGTCCTTTCTATATTGGCTGAAAGATTCAGGGCAGGATATTGCCTTTCAAAATCTGTAATTCCTGTTTTGTAGCCACAGACAGCGCCACGCTCTTATTTGTTGTCTTGGTCACCACGAGTAGCTCCAAGGCCAAGCAGATTTTGGTAATGCCCTAAGGATTTTTTTGTTTTTGTTTTTTGTTTTGTTTTTCATAGTAACATGTTTTTAACATGAAGCTGCAAATATAGCTTCAGAGCCTCAACTGGAATAAGTCAATAATCTCTGTGCAAGGCAACAAGCTGGGACGCTGTGCTAAGTGCTGCTCTTGCTTGTGCTGCCCTGTCCTTGTGCAGCAATGCACCCCTGTGTGCTGCTGTCCCACAGACCCCTGGGGCTGCACAGAGGAAAAAAGTAATTTCCTCTGTTACGCATGGTAATGGAAAGGCCACACTGGGATGCTGCTTCTCCCCCCACTCTCACTACCAGGTGCCTGGGGGGGGGGGGGGGGGAAGGGGGAGGAGTTGTGTTGGTAGTGGAAGTGAGAACCGGGGGAGGGGGAGGTAGGCTGTGAAAGTGAAGAAGGAGGAGCTCAAGTTTGATGATGTTTTCTTAGAGGACCATTACTGGACTTTCTCAATGTGTCTGAAATGATATGAAGGGTGCTTTTACTTTCACGCTCTCTTTCTTGCTCTCTCCCTGAAAACTCATTGCCAAAAGATAAAGAAAGCAAGACCAGCAACAGATCAGAGTTGTGGCATCCTTTTTAATCGAGTGACAAAGCTGGGTTTTTCTCAGTTCAACCCCTCAATGCTAGTTGCTACAGGAGTATCTTAATGAACTCCAGCTCATCGTTTCCCTCAATTCTTGACTGAGAGTAACAAATTGCACCAAGATTGGGAACAAAAGGGTGAGAGGAAAGGAAAATGAGACTCTATCCCTGGCTTCCCTTTTCTGAAGTCCATGTGCAGGAGCTGAATTCTATCTTTCCGATGTGTTGCTTTTGTCTGTCGAAGCTTTTGTTGGAGCTTTTTTTGTCTGTTGGAGCTTTTATCTCTGAATAGAAGAAGCAGAGTTTGCACTGGGAACCGTTGTGGGTTTCAGAACTGTTAATTGGGATTTGGAGTTGATAATTCAGCTATAAGTAGACTTCTCATGTCAAAACTTGATGTGGTAATGTCTTGGCTGAGGTGTACTTTTCTTTCATCCAAAGACTATTTATTATATCCAACTCTCTCACAAATATTAGAGTTCTGCTGACTCCATTCAGGTGCAAGTTATTCACCTGTATTTTCTTCCAGCAACTAAGCTTTGGTTTAAGGCCTACAGTAATGAATTACCTTGCCTCATCCTTGAAGATCCTACAGCATGCTGTCCCTTAGCCCAATTTAAGAGAAGGGAATTAATTCTGTTTTTACTACATGTATATGGTTATGTTTCTCATTTCTTTCTCTTTAGCCAGCCCTCTCAGAACCCATCCACTTTTCTTCATTTTTCAGAACTAAGGCTTCAGAAATATATGGTTGTTTTTATTGCTTCTATTTTTAAGGTCTAAAAGTGCTTTAAAGAGGCTGACTTCTTTTTTTCCAGGAAAGTTTCCTGTAACTCACAAGATGCTTCACTTCATTTAGACAAAAAGTAGAATAAATTCAGCTTCACTGCTGAAAATGTCAGCATGTGTTTTGTATAGTGTGCGTACATATGCAAGTGGGGCTATAAACTTCATTACTGTAGGTCAGCTCTTCAGGGTAAAACTGTATCCAGATGACTCTTTAACTTTTTATTGTCGTTCTTTAATTGTGAATTTTATTTAAGGTAATAATGTGAATATGATAGTAAAAATGTGGTGGTGGTGTTTTTTGGCAGATTTCCCTCTGCTTTCTAACAAGAAACCTGGGCTACACTGGAAGGAGAGCTCAGCCAGCTGTCAAAGTGATCTCAGAGAGGATCAGTTCCAAACACAGGTATGAAAGAGAATTGATCAGAGTAGCACTAGCGCTACTACTGTTGGGACATGCCTGCTTGCAGCAGGATTGTCTGAGCATCCTTTGCTCTTTTACATAGTTTTGGTACTCTCAGTAACCAGCAAAAGTTGGAGTTATGCTGTTATACATAGGGAAGAGATTCTGCTCTGATTGGTATAACCATTCCCAAATCACGTGGCTAAGTCACATTTGCTTTCTGTGAGACTAAGACTTTGATCATGCTGAGATTTGGACACTAACCTCTTGTGTCAGCCAATATGTAAGCTTCCTTCACAACACAGGGCTTAGTTGCCACTGGCATTTGCTTTGTGCCACAGTTTTTTCTCAAAGGAGAGCAAACCCCAGATCTCTGGCTCTTGGTGCTCCTGAGCTAGCTGTTGGTCTAGCCACATGCTCATAGGTCTGGATGGGAGGTGGGTCTTCAGGTGGTGTGTGTTGGGCAAAAGGACACATGTCAGTACTGGGGCAGTAAGAGGGTATCACATCCAGATGGTTTAAATGCTCCCTCTGTTGCTGTGCTATGGGATGAGAGGCAAGTGCCAGCACTGGTCTTAGAGAGCAGATCTGAGAGCTGAGGTGAGGTGTCAAGCAGTTGCATAGCACTGGCCAGAGGAAACCTAGCAAAGGAGATGGGGAGACTTTAGGCTGCTAGTGCCCTTAGATGTACGTGTCTGATGTTTACCACTAGCATTAGATGGGCAGAAGACTTCTTTTCCTAATTCACAGCAAGCTCTTGACTCTACACCTCCCCCAGCTCGTGAGCATCTTCAGGTTCCTACAAGTCCTAGGCTTCCTTTTGTAGTTTCTGCTTTGGATGAGGAAGGGTGGGCCTGTTGCAAGCATAACACTGTAGCAGAAGTCATGACCAACAGTCATGAGCAGAGCACAGTCCGTCCCCCTGACTAAGAGCCAGGCCAAGTCCTCTGTGTCCTAGCCTGTTGTCCTCACCCTTGGGTTAAAGTGATTAAAATTGCTTGACCTCAGGGTCTGTGTTCCAAAAAAATCGAATCTTCAACATCCATGGTGCTAGCTGAAATCCGGTCCAGCACAATAGGGCCAGGAAGGGAGTGTCCCTGGAGGGCAGAGCAGCACAATGCTGCCTGGCCATGCTGCACACAAGGAGAGATGATCGTCATGCTGCGATTTCCACTTGACACATATCGCTTGGCAGCATTTCTCTTACTCTAAAGAGATATTAAGTGGGTGTTTATTCATTTATTGGTGTTTCTCATGTTTTTATCTGAGATCCTGGCCAGTGTTAATTTCAGTCATCAAATACAACTACGAAGCAGAAAGTAATCATTATTACCTTACTTCCTATGCGACTTCCTATGCATCTAGGAAATGAGAAGTTAGATTAATGGCTTTACGCATGTGAATTTGGGAATCTGGCATAGAAGTGGAAACAGGAATTAAATCTTCTAGCCATCCGTTATCTCATAGCATTGAGGATAAAATGCCCCACCTTTTAAAAAGAAAAAAAAACTGTAGTTTTGGTCTGTTGGCTAGGTAATGTGGGCACTTATTCTTGTTACTGTCTACAGCAGAATGTTTTAGTGGTTGGAGTAATTAATTTAAATCTTCACCAAAGGAAAAAAAAATAATAAAAGAGAACTAATTGAATTGTTTAAACTACCATCTTGCATTTTACAATTATTTCTGGGTTACTTCATTCATTTGTACCTGCACCATGTGAGCATACAATATTATAAAAGTGGTTGGAGAGGATGGATTATGGCCTCCTCTGCTTGCTGTAAACTGTAATGTGATGCAACTGAAACGTACGCAGGAGAATAGAGCAGATCGACTTTGTGTATTTTCCTGTAGATAGGACTCTTTCTTTCCAAGGAAAACGTTGAAGATGATTCATAAAGATATGACAGATTCTTAGTAGAATTACGTTATTTGCAGACTATTAAAACTTCCCATAGAATATTAGATCTCCTCTCCTAGGTAAATATTATCCCTTTAGGGAGAAAAGCTTTCTTTTTTTTTTCTTACTGTATTGTCATCTATGTATGTGTGTGTATCTATATATAAAAAATTATGATAGTATCATGTTAATATTTAAATTGATTGAAATATTATATAGAATAAAAGATACAGTAAACTATATTTTTCTAACACCAGTTAACTTTTTTCCCTTACACTTGACAGTTGACTTCTTACAAGAATCCACCAAAAGTTACAAGAGGACACGTCCAACGCTACAGCCCAGTATCTCAAAGAAAAGAAAAAGTCAGAGAGATGCATGAAGATGTCCATCTCTACATGCCTCATTGTCCATTTCAGAGCAGGGCCAGAGGTTCTCCACGGATCCCTCGTGGAAATGGGACGCTGACTGATGATTTTTTGGAGCCTGAAGATATAGATTGTCACACTGGAACATGTACGGGCCAGAGCTGGAATGAAAACAAACAGAATTACACCTCTGAATCACAAGGTTTTAACAGCAATGCCAAAGTGCTGCCATGTCTGTGTTTGAAAGAAAAAGATGAGAAAAATACAAGGCACCCAGGAGAAAAGTTTGAGCAAGAATTAAAGGAGGCAAAAAAGAGGCTGGTGCTTTGCACAGAACAGCAACGTATGTTGTATGATTCAAATGGGGTAGACTTAGGTGGAACCAGGCTGCAGAATCAAAACAAAGGAGTGCTGGGGATTTCAGAGAAGGATAAGGATACTGACTGGAGAAAAGGTGTGTTCAAACAATCTCATCATTTGCCTCTCTTATTTGCAGATGATGTACCACTGGCTTTGTCAGTTGACATGAAAGGTGCTCTGAAGAATCCAGATACAGCTGCCAAGGAGCCTACAGCCAGCCAGCCAAAATCACCACTGAGGCTCATTGCCAATGCAATCAAGAGGTCCATTTTGGAGCCTCTAACCTCATCTACAGAAGGACTAAAGCAGGACTCAGACAGCAAATCCAAAGCCTCTTCAGAAAAAACTTACTTCAGCTTCCCCAGTACTCCTGGCTATTCCCTAAGCCAAAGGAACAGTAATAACAACAGAGCAAATAACAGTCAGCCACAGGAGCTTAAAATTGGGAAGCAGGCTGGAGAATATTTAGGAATAACTTGCAATTCTCTCTCAACTCCATCTAATTTTTCTGTCAGCTCTGAAGAGATATCTCCAAGTGAATACACCAAGGAGCTATTCTTCCCAGTCTACAGTCCACAAAGCAGGCCTTCCAAGACCACTGGTATACCTCAGAAATCACCTTGCACTAGGATGGAGGATGTCCCAGGACTCCTAGAAAAGTTTACGTTTAAAGAAACTCCTCCAGTGGCTTCCAGGGGTGATATATTTACCTGTAACAAGAAGTACCTCCTTGCTTCATCTCGGGAACCCAAGAACGTTCCCAGGGACAATCTAGATGATTCCACACAGAAGAGTAGTCTTGGGTCACTTTTTGATAGACTGAGAAGTAAGGTTCATGAAAGAGAAGGGAATTTCCTTGTGTCATCTCTGCCTTTCATGAGGGACCATTCTGCAGAAGACAGGCTACATTTTCCTTCTGCAGGTGAGGACCTGAATGCAATTATTTATTGCAAGCATTTAACATTTAAAAGATTGATGTGCCGTCATGCAAATCCCATTTCTGTTGTATTTCATGTTTAACTCAGAGTTGCTGTCTACATATGAAGATTTAATAAATGTATCTTTGGTTAAGAATTAGAAGTTAAAGGTGTTGTCAGAGCAGAGCACAGACAGCATGTTGGTACACAAATTTGGTCTGCTGTTTACTAGTATTCAAATGTGTTCGGGACAGGAAAAATATACTTGATGAGGTAGAAGGAGCAATGGGGCAGAAAGGGATACAGAGCAGTTGTTCCTGTGACTCTGAGTGCATTGTGAAAAGGGGAGAAAAGCAGGCAAGTGGAAGGATGAGCACTGGAAGCTTCAGTGCCATGTGGAGTGTTTGCTATCCTCTCCATGACCAGTTCAGATATTGTAGCAATAAAGCTGCAGTAGGAAGAAGCTTTGCTTTGTGTATCTGCTTTCTCAGCAGGTGTCTCTTCAGTTCTGCCTGCTGCTGTAGTGACTGAAATATAGGCATGCTTTTGGGAGCTATGTGGTGTCACTGATATCCCCTTGTCTTTTGTTTGTAAGGAATTAGCACCTTACCGACCTGCTCTAACCAATTTGAGAGTCTGTTTGGGCAGTGATTAAAAGGTATTGATTTTCATGTTTGTTTGCAAGAGCAAGCTTAATATTAAAGTTGCAGATGAGTCTAAGAAATATTGATGTCATACAAAGAGCAACCAAATTAATCTGAGCATGGGCTCAGAAAGAATTAAGTGCAGCACAGTTTAAGGTATAAAATATGAGGTATGAGAGAGACACTCGCCTGTCTTTCTCTATAATCTATCTTTCCAAAAGCCCACTACAGAAAGTCACAGCTTTTTAACTCAATAACCTATTGAATTTTATTGGCATACCTGTTTATGCCTTACTTTATTAAATTATGACCCAAACTCAGCATTAAAATAACAATGTGTGTGTAAAATAATGCATGTACAAGGAATGGAATATAAACGATGTTGCTGAAGTGCTTACATTGAGCTGCCAGATCCTTTTTGTAACCTTTCTGCTTCAGAACTTGATGTGAAACTCATTGAAATAAATAGAATAACTCCCACTATCATTCCTGAGCTTTTGGATCAGGTTCTTGGAGCCTTCTTTATCTAACAGCTTGGAAAACCAGGCCTTCCTGTTGAGCCAGAGGATGCGAAGGACTGCTCTGAAGCCACAGGGAGTTGCTAGTGTTCACGCTTTTCACACTATGGTCTCAAACGAAAGGCTTTTTCTGAGCCTATAAAAGTCATCACCCATAGACTAAGCCAAGTTGACTTGCTCTTAAGTAAATGTATTATAATAACTGATATGTTTTGTTCCTACTAAAGTGGAAGATGTTCTTAGGTTTGAATAATACTATACTTTATTTAGATTTAAAAAAAAAATGAACAAAAGATGATTTAATAATGTGCTGCATTCCTCTGCTGTGCAAGCCAAAAGAGGAATTAAGTTATTATAGTTATTGAATATGGACATTGCAAAGTCTGTGCAAAATTAAAAAATACAACTTTGATCTAGCCATTTGCCCATGCTTGGCTTTTGCTCAGTGCTGCTTAGAAATTTGGGGCTGTGCAGAGATCTGCCTGTACAGACTGCCTGTGCGTCCGGGACCTAGGACAACTCTTACTTAAGCAGTGAGGGTTCATGCACTGATTTCAGTGAGAGATTAATTTGAAAAAAATCCTAGGTAAGTTTGCCTGTAGAATACACAGGTGTTCCCAAACAGCAATACAGAGGTTTGTAGGTGCAATACTGGATTTTTGATTTGCTGCAGAAATATCATTGCGGCTTTATTGATGTTGCTTGTTTCCACCTTTGGGTGAAATCTAAAAAAAGATTAATCTAAATCTAAATTTGGGTGGAATCTAAAATAAGATCAATAAAATTGATCAATTGGATGAGTAACTGATCTCACTTAAGCCATCTTGCCCTTTTGAAATTAAAAAAATAAAAATGCCAAAGAGCTGTCTTAAAAATCTTTAATACCACAAGGGGGGGAACGGTTTAAAGAGAACCAAACCAGGTTGCATGAGAGAGTTGCAGTCAGCTTAGTGTCTGCCTTCTCTTAGTGTTCTGTGTACGTGGTAGCCAGCTGTAACATCTGCAATAAGCCTCAGCAGTAGATCCAGGGTTTAGGTTAGCTTTGACTCACAGACAGACCTTCTGAAGGTGGTGGTTTCACGAAGCTGGTGATTTATTGGTAGTTGTTTGTGACCCAGGGTTTGCTTTTTGTCACTCATGAAGAAACAGAGGGAATATTTTTTTGTCACTGACTGAGCTGAAGTCATATGAATACATTTTTAGAATTGTTCCTTAGAGTAGATGAGAGTTGTTATGACGATTTATGACTGCAGTTGTTTACGTGTCTCATTTCATTAAGCAGAATTACCAGTTTAGATGATAAGAAAATCAGATTTTCTATGATCTCACTTTGCTGGTTTTGTGCACTTTTAGGGATTACTTGCAAATATTTTACGTTTGTACCTGCTTCCCATTACTGCCTCTTTGCCTCTTTGTACTATTGAAAGTCTTCATGACTGCAGTATTCATGTCACCTAGGACACTCTTATTTCAGTGATTTTATATTTTAGGGAACTGAAACACTACAAGATTAAATTGCATGCCTAAGACCACATGAACAACCTGTGGAAAAGCGGAGATGTGGAACCAAATAGACAATTGATTTCTACAGGCCTTTCTTTTCATCTCCTACTTCATGCAAATTCCCGTCTGTTTTGGGACACCAGTGCCCTAAGAGATGTGTCCTTTAACCTTTCTTTTCTGTAAAACACTGAAGTACTTAGAGAGGCAATGATTAATGCCAACAACCTTATAAAAAAAAATGCAATCCTGGACACTTACAGACAAAGCCAACAGATTAATGTAACATCATGTTATAAAAATGCTGTTATAAAAATAGTTCCCGTTCCAAGAATTTCTGTGTATTTAGACTGCAGTCATTACTGTGACACAAAACCACTCCAGAAAGCAGAGGTGAGCTGTGATGTACAGCATTTCACCAGTGGTGTTTTTTCCTATAAATCTCCAGAACAATCAGGAGTGCATTTCCCTCCAACAGAAGCCGTAACCTTTTAAACCTTTCCTTACGACACCTCCCTCTCTGTTCAGAGGATCTCAAGTTTCCTAGGAAAACCAGTAGCCTGGATTTATATGTTGAAAAGGATTTGCAAAAGCACTGGACTTTGGTTCAGTTGTTCCTACAGAATGCAGCTAGGGTTTTACTGCTGATGGCATTCAGTGCCAGGGCTATTAGACCAAGGCAAAGTGTCTTTGAGACCCACCCTCAGATTACCAAGGTGTGAGGAACTGTAATTTACAGATGCAATTTATCTTACATGACATATATATGTGAAGATATCAAACTCCAATATCAAGAATTGGATGTTTCTTACAATTTTCTCCTTTGAAATGTATTCTGTAATGCTGTCGGATTCAATACCGATGCTCAGTTCCCTGTGATTTGACAGCCGTGAGTCAGGTATGCTGGAAATGTGTGTGCAGCATCCCTTAACAGTCTGTTTTGGAGCAATTTAAAGGGCTTTTCTCTGCAGAGCAAGTTGCTAATGCTTAGTTCTCCATAACCAATAGGCGCTGGCAGGTCTGTGGACATAACTCAATTCCATGCCCTGACATTGGCTTCCTCATGCTTGTGAGATGGGTCTTGTTGAAAGTCCTTGGAGAAGTCAGTGGCCCTCTCTCGGTAACAAAAAGGAACACAGCTCCTGAGTTGCAGTCCCAAGGAGGAGGCAGGTGCCCTTGTGTTACAGAAGGCTGCTTTTCCTCTAGACCTTGTAATGCTCTTTAAATTATTGATATTGCTCAAAGAGGAGGACACAGGGAAGCAATCGCTTATTCCCAGAGCTGAGAGAGAAACGGGAGTGTGTAATTGCTTGTGTGGCTGGCCCTGCTGGGGCTCCCTGGAAGGTTTGCAGATTGCATATTATGGAATTTGATTTCACCAGTGGTGTGACTGCAGGGTACTTACTGCAAATGTTTGGTTACATGGGGAGAAACAAGGCAGGTAAGTTTACTCCTCAAAAGAAATAGTGACTGTGATACCCCCCAATGCCTTCCTCCATCTTGTGCACTGGCAAAGGCTTTTGAGTCTGGCCGTCCCTGCTCATCCCGCAAAAAGACCCTTTGAGCTTGCAGCTTCACTGAGCATGAGGACTGGGTGCTTCTAAAACCAGATATTTTTCTTACCACAAATTACTTCCATTTTGCTTTCATTGCTTTACCCCCTGGAATAAACGTGTTTCCTGGATCCAGGTTTTAAATTAGAATTTAAGACAGAAGTCCTGTTTCAGGGCTGCAATCCAGTACAAGGAAACGAAGAAACATTTAAACTGAAAGAATGGGAAGTGATTTTAATCTGAATACAACTTGCACATAGAAATCCAAACATTACCTAGCAGTTACAAAGAAAAATGGCATTGTTAGCTGTAAATAATGTACAATTCCAAGATGTTGCCCAGCTGTTAATCATTAACCCTGTAGCAGGTTGAAGTATAGAGACAGATGTGGCATAGGCAGTTTTATTTTCTTAAATAAAGAGAATGAATCTATGAATTAGACAAATTAAGAAGAAATTCAAATATTTACACACAGTTGAAACAAGATGCTGGGAAAACAGGCATGATGGAAATTGCTGCAATTAAATGTAATTTAATTTATAATTCTGAAAACATGTTTCTTCCAAAGGCAGCCTTTGAGTTTTCCTTATGGAGTGCATTGTTGTGATGTATGGATTTTTCTGACTTATTATGGCATTTTAATCAACAGTTCAATGATGTGATAATATTCCTAAAGCAGAAAAATAAGTGACGTTTGTTTAGACATAATTAATGAAATATTTATGTTGCATGAGGCTGTGTGATAAAGCCTTGTTCTTTTAGTCCATTTGCTTCTGATTACATTTGTGATTTTTTTATATGACCAGACATTCTGACGCCAACTATTTTACACTGAGCAGATGTCATGTAGTAAAAATGGGTGCCAGATGCTACAAGCCACATAAGGGTAATTTGTTTAAGAGCTGGCTCAGACTTTTTGCATTCAATTACACTGTATAGTGAGCCTTATACAATCATTAGGGTAATATGGCTAACTTCAGATATACATTTTAATGAATGTTGAATGCATTCAGAACACCATGCTACATGAAGAGGGCTCAAGGAATTAATTTATTTGTCCATAATACCTGAAAAAAAAAATCAGTTATATACAAGCAGAGTTTTTGACAGTGACCAAAATTTAATTATCACAGTTGACCAAATTTCCAAATTGCTCTGGGTGCTGCAAAGTGGAACTCAGGGCAGGTGCAAAGAGTCTGTATATGTTAAAGAACATTTTTATGTTTTGTTTTTTTTTCCTCTGATAGTTTTGTTCCTTCATTTTAGGATGTGAACATCCAACTGTCAGAAAAGAGGCTGCTGAGTATTCTACTTCTTCCTCCGAGGATGAATTTGAATTGAAACCGTCATTAACACATAAGGTAACCTTTAGTCTGAAGCAAAAATACATTTTCACAGTTGGACTATATTTAACATTCATCGTAAACTTAGATCTAAAACACACCATGATTTCTCAAAGTGGGGACTGGAACTTTTTTTAGTAGAGGTTAAGTGTCTTGGATAGAAAAATAGATTAAAACTATGACAGATGAATATCAAAATTTCTTTTTCCTCTTTGGATCTGTAATTCCCCCTGATTGTACCAGTGTTGACAGAGGAGGTCTTAATTGGACAAATAGACATGTTTTACAGAAACCACTCTGAAGCAGCATTCATAAGTGGATTTAATATGTAGTCCAACAAGCAAACCATTGAAAAAATTAAACCAAACAGATGCAGATTTCCCATACAGAAATACAACTTCACTTGTGAGGTACTACAAGCAGATTGCATGGAAAATGCTGTGTTTACGCTAATCAGCATGGCTGCATGAGCTATGAATTCGCACCCAGATCACATACATTGGAAGGGCCTGCTGCACACTGACATCTCTAAGCCCTAACTCAGCTCATGTGTCTCACTGGAGCAGTGGGTTTAAATCACCAGTGAACTCTCGATACCCATCTGATTTGAAGAGAATTGAAGAGCTTTTATTGCCTGAATAGCTCAACAGAAATATGTTTACCTTTTTCCCATAAAGGGAATATCAGTAAGTGGAATTAATAGTACAAGGTGGCCTTTTGATTTGTTGCTTTGGGAGGCTGGGAGGGGAGGCAAGAAGCTGCCCAGTACACTATGAAAAGCCAAGCTGAGATCTAAGTGGGGCTTCGAATGGAAGTGCAGTTGTGCAGCTCCAGACCAAGTGAAGCACCAAGAGGGGGAAGTGCAGGAACATGTGGCTGCATGTTCTGCCAGCCCTCCTGGGTAAGGACATGCTGAAGTTGCTGAAGCCTTTTGAAGCAGAGCAGCTGTAGCATTTTTGGAAAAGTTATCGACAAGTGTGGATCTTTTCATTACCCGAGAGCATTTTTAGTTTATTTTTAAGAAAAGGTCTCCAGAGAATAAATTTTTCGTCACACATTGGCATTTTTAGTTCTCTTCTATCTACCACATAGCCAAATGTAAGTCTTACATTTGCTTAGCCATTTTGAACAGTACCCTACAAATAATATGCTTTAAATAAATGTATTGTTTGAAATACAGTTGCTTGAAATTGTGGGAGAAAATAGAGTAATCAATATTTAGGTCCTTTCAAGCTCAAAAGATTCAAAAAAACAACAGACTTTTTGTTAACTGGGGAAGTGTTACAGGAAAGGTGGTCTATAATAAGTTAATATTACAGTGAATTAAATTTAAAAAAAAAAAAAAAAAAAGACAGAGAAAAGGGAGAGATGAGAGACAGGAGAAAGCTGAGGAGGAGCAACTGCCCATTGTGCAGCCCAGGCAGCGCTGCTGGGATAGGGGTGAGAAAAAGGGTGGGCAAGTGGCTGACACACATGGTGTCTACAGTGGCTCATTTTTTGATACATTCGTCCCCCTTGTCTCTCTCTTGGATATCTCTGAGTACCTCTTTTTTTGCCATTACCACTGTTTTTCGCTGGCAAAACTGGGTGGGAAAAAATCTAATGGCTTCCTGGCTTGTCGGTTTTCAATCATCTTGTCTCCTGTACTCATATAATCTGTCTCTTCATGAGTGGAAAAACCACAGCCTTGCAACACTTCTAGAGAGTTTAGGTCATGAGCTAGATGAAAATATTCCCCCGCAGCACATGCTCCTTGCTGTTCCTGGCAGTGGTGCTTGGCGGCCATTTCTTTCAGATACATCCCTTCTTCCATAATACAAGCAGCCCAGATGAGCTGCTGCTGGAAGTGGGGGTGGACCTCAACTGGAGCAGGCAGAATGGAAGAAGGTCTCTCCCAAAGCCAGGCCGGGCGGTACTGAACTGGAACCACAGCTGATGCCAGCTGCTCTTCCTTCCTGCCCTCAGCCTTACTGTGCAGGTGTGCGTTATGATCAAACCAACTAGTTTTTGTAAGACAAATTTCTATGGATAATACCCATTTTAAACATCAAAGAAATTATTCACAATTCAAGCAATTTTATTTTACTCCAGCAGCTACAGCAATAGTAATGAGTTAAGTTTTCCTAAACTGGTTTGATGACCTTTTTATTGATAGAGATGGTTCACGTATACTTAGTATTTCAGTAGACCTTGTAATGATTCAAAGTCAACACAGGTTAATGTGTGAAAACTTTCCTACATCAATATTTTCATTTCAGTGAGGTTGCCCAAAGCAGCATGCAGCAGCTCACCTTGCTTTGTGCAGGGGACTTGGATTAAACAGTCTCTGCAGATCTGTTCCAACCTGAGTGGTTCTGTGATTCTGGGGAAGACTTGTGGTAACATTTAATATCATACGTGTACATTGATTGCTGTTTTTTTTTTTTCATTTTCTAATATTTTTGGCAGGCAAAAATGTCTCTTAGAAGGAGAAGGAAGCTGGAGAAGGAGACAAAGCAATTGATTAAACAAGAGGAGCTGAAGAGGCTTCACAAAGCACAGGTGACAATGTAGCTTGCAAATACCCCATTTGTTTCCCAGGAGTGCCTGGTGAGGAGGGCGGTAGTGAATGTGGCCCATGCACTCTCATTCCTCACTGGGACTCACTGACTTCTTCATTAAAATCCACCCAAAATGTCAGGTGCAGTAAGATGCTAGTGGCAGGGTCTTGCATCTCTGTGTGTGACAAATCCAAGTGTGCCCCAGTTGATAGTCACAATTTTGTAATTATGCATTAATGCAAGACCAAGAATAGTAATGACTGACAGTAGCAGTAGAACACATTGATCATTAGGGAAAGAGAGAGAAAGGGGAAATATCATCCCCTGAGAATGCAAGAAGCTGTGCTAACACTCCAGTGTACTATAGGACACTGGCAAAATAGAATGATGGCTTTTGTCCTCTCTGCCATAAAAGTGAAAGTGAACCATTTTGTTTTTCAATGTTGCAAAGTCACTTCACTTCATGTAGGACCCTGATCTGAACCCAAGAAAAAATTTACCCCACACTGATTTCTGTCTTGTTCCTTCTCAGCTGCTAATAATACCTGAGCTAATGTGATCAGAACTAGCTCAGTCTCTGCATTGCAGCATGGATGCCATAGGGACTGCAGAGTAGAGTTTTGTCTTTCCAAAGAAATCAGCTGATGACTTTGGGTTGTCTGCACTGTTTCCAATGTGATGTTTAACTTTTGTGTGTGTGTTTTCCCATGCAGTAAAATAAATAGCAAGGGCATTTTGTCTAATAAATGTTTTTTGAAGGCGAAGTTGTCCACCATCCTCTGTTTTATTACTATGCCAGGTGGACAGTAAGAGCTATGGAGCTTCTACTTGCTATTTCTGTACTAATACTAAATATAAAAAAGAAAGCTATTGAGTTGTTTTTCAGATGTGAAATTGAAATATCTGTTTATGTAGACATCACTCCTTTGGCAAAATGTATTACTGAAAAGGATAGAACTTATTTGTTTGAACCAGACAGTAGAAATGCTAGCATCTAGCAATTTCTATAAAATCAGTGACAGGAAAAAAAAATCCATGTACCTACTCCAAAGAAAAAAAAAAAAAACACTTAACATTTTTGTTTTTTTATTCTGAGCACTGTAAATGATGTAACATTCTCTTCTTTTACTGCTTTGTGGAAACAATCAAATCCAGACTTTTTGAACAATCTTTCTTGTCTGTTAGGCTGTTCTGAAGGTATGGTTTGGAATGCCCTATCACAGCCTGAAGTGGAAACTGCTGAGCATCTACACTTGATGATTCAATCTTCTAAAGGCATTTCATGCCCATTATCCATAAGGCACTTGTAAAAAAAAATCTTATGCCAAAGGGAATGGGTCACTGAATCTAGATGTCGTTTCTGTGCCACTGGATTATCACTTCTTAGTTACTGGACCTTTTCCTGCCTGTGTCAAAAGCTTGTGAAATATAAGAGCAAAACAAACAGCAAAAAAACATGGGCAAAAAAAAATAGCTAGAAAAGATTTCTAGCTGTAAGCCTTGAATATTTATGTGAGGTTAATCTTTTAGCGTCTTAAAATATGCACCTCTGGATATGTAAGGAGTTCAGTTTTCACACCTTGCAAGATACAGAAATTGTATCATCATCTTCCATTCAATAGTGGGAAAACTAGAGTTCAGAACTGACGTTCTTTTTGTACCGGAGATCTTATCCACACAAAAATGTGGATAGATACCTAGTAGAATTTGTAGAAATTGTAGTAGAAATTGTAGTAGAAATTGCTTATGTGCCTAATACAATCAGTGAGTTTGCAGATCTCTTAACTCCTCAGAGACCTTTTCAAGCTCTTTCTCTAACCACTGAGGTCATCTTTTGTCTCTGAATTTTTAAGCTATGTCTGCAGCTTTTATAACCTTATAATTTTTCAGGCAGTCCAGCGGCAACTAGAAGAACTGGAGGAAAGACAGAGAGCACTGGAGATTTTTGGTGTTAAACTGGAGAGAGAACTCAGAGGAGAATCAGGTAAATGACACAGTGCTTGTTGGTGGTGGTTTTTGTTTTTTAATACGAGGAGTTTTATCATTGTCATAGAAAGAGTTCAGTGCCAGTGCAAAATTTGAAATGAAACAGTGATTGGAATGACAAAAATCCTTGTTTACCCTTTTCCTCAAACTCTGTTAGTTCAAGAACCATTAGGCTGAGCATTATAAAATTCTGTTGATTGTCACGTATTTTGAAGTAGTTGCCATGCTACTGAATCTGCATTTCTCTCCCCCCCCTCTCCTGACCCATTTTTTAAAAATTGAGCTTAATTTCATCTTTGGGAGGGAACCAATACTGTTCCCAGGAGCTGTGTTTCAGTTACTATGCCTAGTAACAGAGTCCTTAATGACTTCTCCCAGTGTGTGAAATGTCATTACTCTGATGAGGGCAATGGCCATGATATAGCAATAGCAGCCTGCAGTCCCACTGCCTGGATGGGGGAATGGAGCAGGGACGTTGTCCTGGCTGCAGATTGGGACAAAGCTTTCACTCACCTGAACCAACTGTGCCAACACACTGGTCCACAGCATCCTCCCAACGCTGGTGGGGTGAAGCTGGGGAGACCTCCTGCAGGAGGATGGAACAGGACAAAGGGGGTGAGGGAAAGGCCTGTGTGTGTGAGGGACTTCAGAGGAGCGTATGTTTCTGTGCCAAAAGGGTTCTGGGGAGCCAACAGACCTATTGCAAATGTCTCTTTATTTACCTCTGCTTTAGAAAGCTGAACCTTGTGCTTTTGAGACAGGCAGTTGCACAACACTGCAAACATAGGTATGTTTTGGCACCTGATCTTGTCATCTTAGCTAGACAACCCAGCAAAATCTCTACATGCTGACTGTTTTAATGCCATATTTCTTAGCAGTTATCACTCTTATTCTAACACCAAGCTAACCAGTTTAACAACAGAGTGTTTGTGCAACCTTCTAAGTTTATTAACAGATTTCCTATAACTAATAGTGGTAATGTATTTCAAATGTTATTTTAAAGGCTAGCATTATCTTTTTTCCCTTAAATGAAAACATAATTTATCAAATAACACCCACTTTACCACCTATGAGAAAGTGTCCTAAAGAGACTGAGGATCTGGTGTTTTAGCTTTTTTCTTTACAGGTGAGTGGTTTATGGAGACATCAAAAATATGGGGGGCAAGAGATTTCTAGCTCATGGGATAGATGCAGAATACCAGGATAAATGGTCTAGAGCTACTTCTTGGTTTTGCTGTTTTGACAATCACATTTCCTAAAGAAGGCTGTCTGCCAAGAGATTGATGCTTCTCATTCTCTTCCCATCCTTAGTAATTGGATTGCCCTCATTAAGGTGAAAGTACTATTTTTTCTCCCTGTTGATTGTTTGCGTGTAGGTGGCCAGTTACAAATAGGGCAGCTACTGAAATATAGGATGTTACCGTGTCTCAATAACTATTCTGGTGCAAAAGCATGAAGTTTCTGTAAGTTTCCCAAACAAAACATGAGTGCTTTGTTGCTTGTAACAACACACATGTAATGATGCAAGAATCAGTGAGTATAATGTTCCATTCAATCTTCTTAAAAATAATGGGCATTATTGTTTAATGAATGACCACTGTTTATTAGGTTAAGTTGTATTTAAGTAGGTCTGTGCTTATGTAATTCAAGTGGTTTAATAGGTATTATTAAGGTAATTAGAAAACAATCACGGTTCAGCAATAATATTGAACTGGAAAGGTTGTGAATAACCAAATTTAGAGACAGGTCTGCAAACACTAGTCTTCAGTGACATTTGCGCAACTCTCTAATAATTCTGTAAGCAGGGGATGAATGGCCCCTTTGTTAGGAGGAGTTATTCATTAGCTCCTCAGCTGAATTAGAAGAGAACATGCATGGGTGTGAAACAACTCCCATGAAGACTGTTGAGCAAAATGAGGCTTTGATGATCTTCTAATTGTAGTGACAACAATTCATGCATTTAAAAAAAAAAAAAAAAAGAAAGAAAACAAAAAATTACAAAATAAATATGTGTGTGTGTGCATGTATGTGTTTTGGAAGGTGAACAAACTTCTGTACATATTGTGGGTAGTTTTTGATTTATAAGCATCATATCCAGGGTTTCTCAGAACTTTTAACAGAGTCCAAAGCGATCAGCTGACAACTTCGATGAATAAGGAATATGAGGTCTAGAAGTTCCCAAGGCAGTGCAAATTCTCAGGGTCCCCCTTACTGTGTAACTGCTGTACATAGGGACAGCATAACATTGCTCTGTGGAATGAAAGTTTGACAGTGAAAGCTCATTACAGCCTCTTTCCCTCAGAAGCGATTAATACAGAAATGGCTATGATGTAATTAGAGCATTGAACTTTCAAGTGGGATTTTGGTTACAAGAGATTTGGGCAAACCAGAAGGAAAGTTTTGCTTTAGTAATGCTGTAACAAAAAGCCAGCATAGCTCACAAAACAGACTCTCAAATGTTTTTTCCTTTAACATTTAAAAAATATTTGTCTTACTACCTTACGCCAAATGCTTCAGTGGCTTGTTTTGCCCTTGGAAGGCATAAAGCAGTCCATCAGACTCAACTATTAACAGTGTTATTACGAAACATTTGAAAAGCTCAAGGAAAAATGCCCCTGGGAACGCTAGGGGAGTGTTCTGTGAGATGAACAAGTAAGAAAACAAAGGCTATTTTTATTTCGGCTTCCACTGAGTGACGTTTTTGCAAAGCACATTTCTGTTTGTGTACCTCAATCAAGCTACAATACACTGTTATTAGAGAGAGAGGTTTTAAAGTGTAAAGAGGAAATGTTTAAAAAATATATATGTATTTTTGCCTAATCAAGAAAACAGCAAACAGGGAATACTCATCTCTGTATGTGCGGGACATACACATTCCTGCAATAGCAATGTTTTTAATGACTCTATGACAATCAGTTCCAGATGATAATTTCTGATGATGACACATGAAGACCAAAGGCTCTGAATACTACCACTATATCCCTGTGCTGAATCTGTGACAAGCTACCATTGACACATCCCAGCCAGATGTGCTCTGGCAGTCACTTTGAGAAGATTTTTTTATCACCACTTGCTGACCTGGAAGATCCTTTAGGAACACATCCCTTATGGCCAAGCTTTATTGGAATCATTCAGCAATAAGAGCAAGATTTCTTTGCTCTTTTTCTCTCCTGCTGCTTTACTATCCTGTTTCACAGTAACAAAGCAAATCCCAATGGGAAATCACCAAACAGTGTACAAGCCACCATGACTCCTGTCCTCGGCACAGGGGCCCACACAATTCTATTGCTGGCATGAGGAGACCTGGGCTCTCTGAGATGACAGTGCCCGATTGTAATTCTGCATCAGTACTGGGGTCACATTGAAGGGTGGCTGAGTGCTTTTGTTTTGTTTAAAAAAAAAAAAAAAAAGAAAAAAAGATGGAAAGCATGAAGTAAGTTGCATGTTAAAAACTGCGAGAAAACTCCGTAACTGTGTCCACTTCAGAAGGTGGACAGCTTCAACTTGTTTAGGAATATCATTGGGCTTAGATATTCTCTTGACTGGCTTGATTGAGATACAGCTGGTAAAATGAACTTACACATTCACAGATAGGTTTGCAAAAGAAAAGTAGAGCAATATGTAATCAATAAGCCATTTTTGATTAATATAGGTAGGAAAGTCACTATCTCCTCCAGTAACTACATCCTGTTGATGCAACAAACACTGCAAGTGTATGGGACAGACCTGAACAAGGATGTTTGGGGAGGGTCGTGTGAAAGGGCGCAAACCCTTTAACACCCTCTGACGTGCCATTGAAAAACACCCAGGGGTTCTTTATTGCTCTCTTTTAGAGCAATAAAAGCCTTTACCTGGTGAAAGAGGAATTCATCCTCTTTAGCAAAATAGACTCAGACTGTGAACTCTTTGGGAGAGAAACCATCTCATTATTTTATTATTGTATCTGTATTATTATTGTATCTGTACAATGTCTACAGTGATGCCCTAACCCCAGTTGTTCCAAAGCTACCCTAGAATAATAGATTTTTTGTGTACCACAACCTTTGCTGCCGATTAAAGCAAATACAGATTAATACAGATTTAGAGGCCAGTTGGCAAAGGAATGGACATCTCTACTGGATTAGATTGTACATGTGACGCCCACTGGAAGCAGGGATTAGGCTGATATCTGCCAGCAAGTACATCCCAAATCTGACTGTGTTAGTGGGATATCAATTTCTAAATAGAGTTCTGGAGTCCACTGTCAACAAAGAAACTATGTTATCAAAGGCAGAACTAAAAGTGAGTGACTATATTTAAAGTATATATTTATATATATATGAAACAACAAAAAAAGCTAACTTCCAAAGCAATAGTGCTTTAAAAGGTAATGCATCTTTAACTGCAATAAAATACAGCGTAACGGCATAAACAGGAATGTTATGTGTTATGTTTGATGTTACTGTTATTAGTTGCACAAAGAATAAAAAAATCTGCATTTGAGCTCACCTAGCATTATAAATGAGGACTATTTAAAGTGACCTTAAGTGGCAAAAGCATTGGAAGGAAACTCAGTAATGCATATTCAACTCTCCTATTTTAAGCAGATTCAGGTACACAAGATGAAACTCAGATGCTACATGAGTGGTTTGAGCTGGTCCTGGAGAAGAATAAATTAATGCGTTACGAGTCTGAGCTTTTGATTGTGTAAGTAAGAATGAGCATTAGTACTAAAGAAGCAAAGGGGAGACAAGAATTTGTACTCACATGACATCTACCCACCCTTCTGTGTGATGGAGTTTGGAACTGTTGTAGAATAAATGCATCCGCAGTAGCTGCAGTCTGTTTTGATCACAGATTTTCAGCTGAGCCCTCCTCATCTTTCCCTCACACAGTGGCTCAATTATTTCAATCCTATAGGATACTCTAAACCACTACAGCATACAGGTGTTCTGCCTTTATGTAGTGTGGGTCTAATTATGTAGGTGTAATGAACACTTGGGCACTTTGTCCTGTGGAAGAAAAATAGTCTGACAAGCTTATCTCAGTTTTCATTGGACATAGTGAATTCCTTGATCTTTTCTCCTACAGAGATGAAAAAGTATATACACCAAGACAGTAAAGAGCTGTCTCAAGTGCCACTGTTTGTGATTGATGGAAACAACATTGGTTGTCGTTGCCTCACCTTGCTTTGTTTGAAACAGGTTCAGCAGATAGGCATAGGTGACTGCCAGATATTTTTTCCACTATCTCTGGTCAATGTGGGAAGGTGAATAGAGCTGCAGCAGTCGTTACTTACTTCTGGCAGGGCTCTTAGTTTATGGGAGGGTCCAGAATCTTGTTCTGAGTGCCACGAACAAGGCACAGCTGGTCAAAGCCCCAACTGTTGTGATGTAAGAGGGAGCTTAATCCAATACATAATACAAAAGGTGGTATTGGTGCTTCTGGCATTGCTGTGCAGAGACTAAGCTTTTAGCTTTGACTGCCCATTAGGAGGATAAACAATACACAAAGTCTTGGTTGAAATAATACTAATATACGTATGTCTTTACTAAATATATATATACTATTTAATGTGCTTTTTATTGTATCCAGAGCCCAAGAACTAGAACTGGAAGACCACCAAAGCAGGTTGGAACAGAAGCTGAGAGAGAAGATGGCTGTTGATGGTAAGTCAAAGCAGGGAGCATGTTCCAGCCTGCAGCCATAGACTGTGTCCATGTGAGTCCCTCCTTGCTCTGAGGAGCAGAGGGGCTGATGTTCTTCCTCCTGTGCTCTTCTGTGAGTGCAGCTCAGCCAGCAACATCCAACTTGTAAGATCTTTTCACCTGACTTGGAATAAAGAAAGCTGAGCTAACCTGCCCAATTTTTAAACTGGATTAGATCAGAAGCACACCTAATGGCCCTGATTGTGCTGTGCCTGCAGCAGCATACACCTAACATGATGATGGGCAGTTACAGGAAGTGATTTCTTCAACTACATAATGCAAGAGAGGTTCAGTTAACTCTGGTGCTACCAGTTGCCGCAGTACTTTGGAACTATTTTTATGTACTTTGGATTACAGTTTGGGTTTGTCCTTTCATTCACTATTAGAAAATGGAGCGTGGGTAGTAGGAATGCAGGCAGAAGGGGGGGGGGGAATGCATAGCACTGAATATGCCAAAATATCCTATTGTGTTCTAAGCACCTGGATTGCAAACTACTGTTATTTTCAATATTTTTTTTTCTGGGAAAAACAAACAAACAAACAAACCCTATAAATTTACTTAGATTCTGCATTTTGCAACTAAGCTTTTAAAATTTTATAAATTCAATTTAAAATCCAACATAAATGTTGTTACCTTATAGTTTATTTCCTGATATAGTAAAGTGCTTTCTGCTATATAACATTTTAATTATGGTGTGATGTTTAGGCAACATTTATAAATGTTTTTGTAAATACGTAGTGCCCTTACTACTAATTCCACAGCCTAAGCTTTGCTAAAAGTCCTAATATAGAATTTAGGGGCCTTAATGGGCAACCTTAAATGGCCCAAATGCAGGATAAATTTTCCCTGAACACAAACATAGAAAATATTAACTGCCATTGTCTTCATTTCTTGATGACTAATATTAATTCATGCTGCACATCAACAGTTAAAATGCAAAGCATAACAATATAGTGATCTAGATTCTAACCTCTTGTTTTATGGTCTTTTAGACACCCTTAAAGATGAGATGGATCTAAATGAGGAGGATGAAATTTTTACTGAGATGATGAAAACGGTTGAAGAAAGGGACAAACTTGTGTCTGCCTTAGAGGAGCAGAGAGTGAAAGAAAAAGCAGAAGATCAGCACTTTGAAAGTATTATCGTATCTAGAGGCTATCAGCTGAGTGGGATTTAAACAGCCATATGTAAATAAACATGATTTCAGCAATATTCATAATCACAGAGGTACTATCTTATGAAATATGAGGGAATTCAAATTTGAAGTCAGCTTATTTGGGAAAGGTCATCTTGTTATCTTAAGCAGTTTCTTTGCTTACACTCGAGTGAGTCAATTCACTGTCAGCTTCAAGAATAAAGAATGGGACTGGATTTACCTGTGTGATGGGCGTCACGGTCTGTAAAAGGGAAATTGGAGCTCTGATGTTTTCTTGGAATTTTATTTTAATGCTGAGAATAGAGTTCCTGAGAAACATGATGACATCATCCAGTATTTTTGAGATGGCATTACTTTCCATCTGTTTGTCTGACTCTGTACGTGGTTTTGGGGATATTTTGGCACAGCCAAGCAATGATGAACTATTTAAAGGACAAAAAGCAAGTTTCGTGTATAAAATTGTTTAATAATAAATAATTAGTTTTTATTTCTGGTGGAGGAAGGGTCTTTTGACTAATAACTATGTATAAGCACTCATTAAAGCTATTGTAAATGCAATGTCAGAAATTAATTTTCCAGGTATTTCTAAGTTTTAGAATACTGTGTATTTTTGAACAAGATGTTGAAACAATATTAAATCCCTGCATTTTGTAAGGGATCATCAAATGGGTGACTTATCCTTAAAACTGTTATAGGCTCAAAATAGCTATTGTATGGCACAGATAAAGATCTTTTCTAAAATATGCTGAATGATAATTTTAAAACCCAGACCTGATTAGCATCTATAGGGTAGATTTTACAGTTGTTTCATAAAATATATCACAAATATTATCATAGGGTGTCATGAGTAGTGTAGCAGTTACAAATCTCCCTTAGAATAATTTATCAAAACATTTGCAAAAATATTGTTTTGTAATGGGAACATTTAATAGAAAATGTTGTGAGTATACTTAAATTATGTTTATATTACTGCTCGAAAGTATATATGGAGATTTTTTTGCTTAAAGGAGGTATCTGCTATATTTTTTTGTACATGCATTGTACAAACAGACATTGGCATAGCAGATGTGCAGAAATTATCATTAGTATTCAGCATACTTTTAAGTACTTTCTTAAATCTGAGATAATTGTGCCATTTAAGATTGCTAACATTCCCAACTCTATGTATGATGCACTACATTTTCAAACCGGAAAAAAAAAAAAAGAAAAAAAAGGAGAAACTGAAAGCCTGTTTATTCTTGAATATCATTTTACCTCATGCTTTGACTAAGATTTGATGTTCTCATTATTTCAAAAACGGTGCTTATTTGCAAGAGTTTTCTGTCTTGCAGCCAAAGCTACAAGCATTCTTGTTACAAAAAAAAAAAAAAAAGCTAAAAAAACCCTCTTGGTAGCTACTTGTAGGGTAACGGACACACTGAATCCTGTCATAATAATTTATGAATGTTTTTTTTTTCTGTATTGTAAGAAATTTAAAATATCCTTTTTAAAATTAAAAGCAAGATTTTACTGTTCACCACAGATTTACAATATACCTCTATTGGTGCAATGAACATAGTAGTGTTCTGCAATATTTATGTATTTATACTTATTTATTAGCCGGTTTAAAGAGGATAAGTGTCTCATATTTTCTAGTTTGGATGTTGTCTGCAATTTCCATAAATAAAAGTGTATTTCTAACAGTTATTTATAGGTAAAGGCCTGGATAGTAGACTAGATAGCTTTATCAATTTGGTAATTATTAGTATAAATATGAATTTAGATTTAAACAGCAATATCTTAGTGGGATACCCTTCAATATAACATATAGGACCTTAGCAATATAATTTGTATTTCATCTTGGAAAGAAATAACAGAATCCCTGAATATATGTCAAAATTACTATCGGTTTGGTGTTTTTTTTTTTCCTGCTGTCATTCATATGCAGAGCATACTTTGATCTTCAGTTTACATTTTTTGTTTTTAGATGGATTGCAGTGAGTGTTTTTTTAAACCATCTCTATTACTTAAGATTGACACAAAGTAGAAGCAAGCAGGACAGCAATAAATATTTAAATTTTCTCTGTTGAAATCTTCTGGCATTTCCAGTTTTGTGGAGAAAATTTCTGGATTTTACCACTGTTCCCAGAAGCCTCATGTAGTCCAGTAGATTAATACTGTCTAGATCATCCATCGTTGTTCTCTGTAGAAAACTGAGAGTCATAGTACTTTCAACATAATTTTTAACGTTTTAAAGCAACCATTTTTCTTAGTGCTTTGCACAGGATGGTAATTCAGCACAGAAGCCCTCAGTTATATCAATTAAGGACTGTTTTTTTCACCTCACTGCTACTCTCAGAAAAGCCCATTCATCCTCCTGTTGCTGCTGTACAAAGAGCGGGAGGAAGGGCAGCCTCAGAAGAACATGAAGCACCTTGTCCTGAGGGGCAGATACTCTGCCAAAGTCTGATCCTCTTGCCCAGGTAAGGTGCCACACTGCAAATGCCCAGGTTCAGGTCACTCCACATTGTAGACAGGCCCTGAGACTTCACATTATAGCAGATCCTTGTTTGGCCATTGAGAGTTGAGAATATTAAAGTCAACAGGAGATGAGAGCCATCAGCATTTTATGGACCTCAGAAATATTATTTACTAAAAAAATACTTTTCTGTGTGCCATAACACACTCCATCCACAACTGCAAGTCTTGTGTGTCTGCTCCTGCATGTAAAAACCCGTTGGGCTACCATTATCCTGACTGATACTGTGTACCTCACAAGATTAGATCCAAAAATGAACTATGCAGGTGATTTAAAAATAAATAAATAATCACCTGCAATTTAAAGCAGATCTTCATGTATTGTGAGAGTAGAGGAGGTAAAAGAAAAGTTATGTGCACTGTTCATAGGTCAATTTAATATGGCTGACTTTATTATAAATGTATTTAAGAGTATTTGGTTATGAGTGTTCTTGCTGCTCAATCTTTTCTGTAAATTGACTCACTAACGTATAATGGATTTATGGATTTTTTTTTTTTTCAGTTCTTGGCACTGTCATTGTTGGGTATAATGTGATGTGCTGGAACGTATTGGCCATATCTAAATGGACTAGATGTGAGCAACTTTGTATTTGAAGAAATAAAATTGTATCTCACTCTCTGAAGTTCCAGTCATTTCTATAGTAATTTCCCTCCCTTGGTAGGGTAATAATGTGCGTCTAAGAAAAATCTGTGGGTAAGAAGGATCAGTTCCTTAATTCATATACTGGTAAGTAAATTACACTGTCTTGCAGTTCACAGATGCGTTCTATAGTTTAGAAATAATGACACCCTGAAGCTAGACAGTATTCAGCTCTTAACACATGAGGTGTGAAATCCATAAGATCAATGACTTCCTTATGTTCTTACACAGGAATTGACAACCTAATTTCTTAAGATCTGACATACAAACAATAACAGCCTATGAAGACTTGAAGGAAAAGTGTCCCTGATTGGATCACTGAGAATTGATGATCAAAGTCTTAACTTAAATCTTAACTTTACTTATGTTAGGTCTTGTTCTGTTACTTTCTGCCAGTGGAAGAGCCTTACAGAGCAAGACAGCGTGTTGCTTGAGATGAGAGAAGCAGATAGGCAAGATTTCAGCCTATATGGGCACCTGCGCTGTTGTCCTCTGCTCAGTGACTCTGAACTAATTGATAGTTCTCTCCTCATCAGACAACAGACAGATGGCAGCTTCTCTTCAGAGCTCAAGGTAATTTTTGGCACATTTGAACTGAGGTTTTTCTTCTTTTGTCGCAACCTTTCCCTTCAATCCTGTGTGCCTGAGAGGCAGACAGGTATGGCAGTGACTTCTCTGATGATACCACTTCTAAGTTATCAGGACTGCACAGGAATTACCTACTTGCTGGGTTACTGGAAATAATACATCAAACTTTTATCTGTGTTTAAAACCTTACAGACACATTGACTTTACACTCAGCAGGTCATCAGCTGGGGGGGGCCCTGCTGGTGCAGAGCAGGAAGTGGGGAGAAATGCCCTCAGTAAAGGAATTTACTGCTATTCATCTCCCTATGTCCCCTCTTCAAAAGATCATAGGTCTAAAGAAAGCCGATTGGACAGGAAGTTCAGGGAAATGATTTTGTAAGCCATTATTTGCCTCAAGATCAATCTGGTCACTCTCAAGATAAAGGAATGCCTCACATTTTTGGGCTATTTGGACAGCTTTCTCTGGGTCCACACAACAAACTTTGAGGACCTGTGCCTTGAAATCTTTGATTCTTAGCTTAAGGATTATGTGATTTCTAATAAAATTTTCACTTTAGTTTAGCAGTCTTTTTCCAGAGAGAAATACTGATTTATTTTCTGCTTAAGCACATACCAGGATGTGGTTTAGTAGATTGGAGATTCTGTATATCTTTTAAAGTTTTGTTACTGTTAAGAAGGCCTAAGGCTTTCTCTGCTGAGTACTGCATGGATCATACAGTTATTTACATAGTCCAGCATAATGGGTTTATCATGTTAGCTGGGGAGTGCTATCCCCTTAGTCTTCACAGCAGCTGCATCTCATGAACCTACATCTTTGAAAATACCTTATGTATAGGATATTGACTGGATTTCTTTTTGCCCCCAGAATTTATGAACTTTTTTTTTTTTAATTTTATTTTTTCCAGGTAGTTTCTTCTGCTGGTACCAATCAACTACTGAAAGAGATGTGGTGGCCCTGCATGCCAGCAATGTTCTTGCTGGAATATTTGTGTAACAGATGTACAAAATTACAGGCACAAGTGTGTGGTACAAGGGATGCTCATTAAGAAAAATTCGATACCGATTTTTTCTAAAACTGTCTCAACAAGGTCAGGTGTAAGTGCATATAAACTTGGACTTGTATTTATAGGTAACTGATTGACAGAACCACAGGTTGCCAGAAGCATTAAATGCCAGGATGATATTCTTATCTGACTGAGAAGTTTCAAAACCACTTTATTTCCTTTGAAACCTTACAAATAATTAATCTCCGTAGTTGTATATAATACATTATCTTTCTTATGCTTCTAAGCAGCCTCTTTTAAAATGCTGTTAACTATTACGCAGGGCCAAGGGGTGGGTGGGCGTGTTCAGTAGTTAACAGTGTAGAATTGGCAGGTCAGCAGATAGCCGGGTTTTACTATGTAAAAAAATAAAAAGGGTAGACTTTGGTCTAGTTCTGTTCTTCCTGAAGTCAGTGAAGAGTTTGGCTGTAAGCAATTAGAGGAAGAGCATTAGGTCACTAGAGCATTTTTGAAAATACCACTTCCACTGTTGAAATGACCAAAAATGACCAAGCAGTTAAAAGGCTAGTGCAGATGTACACAATGTACACTTAGGAGACAAATGTTGAACTCCAAGACAAACAAACAATTTACTGCATGGCCTTAACCAGCTTATCTTAAGCTTGTGTGTTCATTATTTTAAAATAAAATAAAATAAAAAGAGTACTTTTAAAAACCACATACAACATCAGTGCTGACCTCTCTCCTGTGAGACAGCCTTCTCAGATGATGATTGTATAATATCCTTTCCGCTGACACAGTGCTTTTTCTTGCCCTAGCGACCTAGCCCATCATGGGTATACTTATTATGTATCCTATCTCTTCCACCTCAGTCAGAAACAAGATTCTGTTCCTGATCATTCTGAGTCCTGCAGTGAAAGAAATAAAAAACACGTGTGCATAGACAGATATGCAGGTGAATTAAAATGCATTTAAGTATAGTGATTTAGCCTTCTTTTATTGTCTGGATACAATTAATTGTATCCTGATCACATACATGCAAATATGTATGTGCTACTGGCTGGCTTATCTTTAGGAACGAGGTGCTGACAGGGAGCACAGTGAGAGCCCTTGTGGTCTGCTCCAGATTCCTATGTGCCAGATACAACAGGGCCAGCCTGAATGGCAGCCTCATGCTGTTGTGTCCTGTGCATGGGATCATAGAGCATGATTATGAAAGTATCCAACTGTCAAATGGGAAGCAGAACAAAAATCTAGCCAAACGAAAATCCCCACTAAATTCATATTACTGCAGCTTTTATTTGTGGTTAAAATACTATTTAAAGATGAGTCAGATATTTAAAATCAACATTCCCACGTCTGCCATAAGTTAGACTTTGTGCATATCTATAAGAACCTTTGTGCTGAATGCAATATTAAATGAAGATTATATGTCCACGTATATTTCCACATCAAAAGAAAAAGTAGCATATGTAGTTCTAAATATAAGATACAGAAAAAAAAAATGTTGTAACTGCCCTCAGAGACAATCATCGTAAGTAGAATCATCATAAGTAGAAAAACCTTGCAATATTACATCTAAGAGAACTACAAATAAAATCAGAAAGGAACCCATTAAAAAAAAAAAAAGGTAAACTTAGGTTTGTCTCTTTTTCTTATCCCTTAGCATTATTACTTAAGGCACGCAGTGTTCATGTTTCCAGATCTGATAGAGATGATTTTTAACATTAAATTTGATTTGAAATGTACTTTCTCCTTGTGATGAGCATTTACCCATAGCTCATGGGGCTATTAAATAAGTAGTATTGCATTTGACATCTAATTTACATATGCCGAGAGTAATGAAATAGGAAACAGTAAAAGAAAGATGTTAGGTCTTTTTATTTATTTTGTGTGAGACCTGGCAAGTGCACGCTGAATTCTGACTTTGCTGTGCAGCCCAGCTCCCATTCCTGTTCATGTGTGTCTGGTTTGTTTTTTCTGTCTTTAACACAAAATTTAGTGGTACAAAAGCAAGCACATGCATGCTTGCCAAAATGCTCTCTCTCCTGCTGTGCCCACAAAACCCTATATTGACATTTGTGTGTATTTATTTGGGTCCACATGGAGATTCAGTTGTTGTTTTTTTTTTTTTCTCTATTTGTAAATGTGACAGATTCACCTGCATTTAACAAATTACTTGACGTGTTGGTTTCTTTTTCTTTTAACATATTCTTAAAAATCTTTTTATTCATATTATATTATTTTCTTGAAAAATGTTCAAAACTGTTCATATCCTAATCCATACAGTATGTGAGTAGTACTAATGTGTGAAATTCGGTGCGTGTCCTAGAGACAACAGTCCAGAGATGCAGTAGTTGCTCTGAGCCAGTGCAAATGTAAGGAAGCATGAGAGTGGTGTAGTGGCTTGGGCTCATTCCTGCTTTTAACTGATGTCTGTAAAGACAAAGTTTTTCCCCAAGGCATATACTAACTGCATACAACAAATATTCATTGTTGTGTACTCCTCATCAGCTTACCAATGTTACCAGCTTGTAAAAACACAATTACTAACTGATTTAGAAATATACTCACGTTAATTTCATTTTACTTATTATGCCTAATGGATAGCTAGATATTTGCATGAAGTGTGTGTGGCTTTTTGCCTGAATTGTTAATCGAGTGATTAAGTGGTAAGTGAAAGTAGTGCATCCAGATGACATTAATGCTGTTCCAGTCCTGGATGCCTCATGAACTAGCTACCAGTTGGAGCAAATTAGCTGTTTTAAAGATGCCTCTCTCTTAAGCTACCCATCTGCAAATAAAAGGATTGGTATAGGCAATCTATTGTGCTAGGTCATCTTTCTTTCCCACTGCTTTTTTAATGGTCTTACTACAACCGTTTGTTGTCGTTGTTGTTTTTCTGTGTAGAAATGGACATCGCCATGTCTTCTTCCTCTGATGACAGACGTAGTGGTAACCTCCAGGGCTGCTTTGCAGCATGTGCTCAAGACTGAACTGCATGTATTAGCTTGAAGTTGCACAAAACCATGTGGTGGCACTTGATTCCTTCATGAGTTCTTCTCGGAGCAGTGTGGAAACTTCTGATATCCACGCTAACTCATGGTTTCACCTGTGAGGTCACATACATGGGTGCGTTTGACAGAGCAGCCTGAGGTGGTGACTAACCCGTCTGCGAGGTGGTGTGAGGACAGTTTGGACAATCGGGAGTGGCCCTCCCCAAAAGGCTGATAAAATGAGGTGCCCGGGGGGCATCGCTGGGCGCGAGCGGCCGCTGGGCGCCAAGGGTCTTCGGGCGGGAGCGGCCGCTGGGCTGAGGCAGGTGCCGGCGGAGGCCGTGTGAGGGGAGCGGGCCCTCCCCGGCGGGCGCCGAGCGAGCGAGAGGGAGGGCGGGCGGGAGGCAGGGCAGGAGCGGGAGAACGAAGCAGGAGCTGCCTCAAATGCTTGAAATAATTCCGCTTCCGTTCAGAGCCGGGAGCAGCCTCCCACGGCATCGGGGCCTCGGACCCGTCTCCTTCATCCCCCAGCGCCGGCCCGGCCGTCATGGCAACTTCCCCCCAGAAGTCCCCTTCTTCCCCTAAGTCCCCCACCCCGAAATCGCCCCCGTCCCGAAAGAAAGATGACTCCTTCCTGGGCAAGCTCGGCGGCACGCTGGCGAGGAGGAAAAAAGCTAAAGAAGGTAAAAATCAGGGGCGCGCGTGTCCTCGGAGTTACCTTAAAATGGGGGGTGGGGGGGGAGGAGGCTCGGGGAGAGGAAAGGGCTCGGGGCAGCGGGAGGAAGGGGCCGACTCGGGGAGGGCGCTGAAGGGAGGAGCGCGCTTGGGCCCCCGGCTCCGCCGCCACCGGGCGGAGGCCCCGGGGCCGTGTCCCGGTGCCAGCGCGTCCCGGAGGGGAGCCGCGGGAGACGCCTCCCTCCCTCCCGCTGCGGGCCTGGGGGGCTGCGGAGCTCGGTCCCAGCGAGCGGCGGCAGCGCCCAGCTCGGAGCGCGGGGCAGAGCGGCCGAGGCTGCCCAGGCTGCAGGAGCGGAGCGGAGCGTGTCCCCGCCGCGGCGGCCTGCAGGGCCTGCGGGCCTGGGGCTTGACCTGATCGTGGACGCTGCGCGCCTCGGAGCCCGCCAGGAGTTGTGCAAGAAACACGCAAAGCTTGATGTGTGCGGCATCAGTGACTTTCAAGGCGTTGGTTTATGGTGGCATACAGCATGCTCTAACGTGCTGCTCTGAAAACAGCATAACACACACAGAATGAATAGTGCTCATTCCTTTAAAGGCTAAAATTAGGGCTGATTATTATTATTATGCTGTGCTGAAAATCTCCGCCTTACCATCATGGAGCTCCGAAGAACACTGAGCAACTGGTCTGGTTATTTGTCCATACATGTGAATTAATATCCACCCCCTTCTGAGTCTGCCTATTTAAAATCCCATGAGACAGAGAATTGGAATTTAGTGTTACTCATCCATCGTTTTCACAGCTGATGTTAATTTAAATAAGATACCAAAGTAGTAGTCACTTCTAAACAGTTATTTATATAAGTTTGCAAGTTCCACGCTTGCAAATGAGAAGGGCATTATGCTCAACAGATCCTTGCTTCAGGCACAGTATTTCAGAGCAGCACCTATGCTACAGACAAGGATAATACCCCCTTGGACAGTACAGCCCCTTACTCAGCAACTACCATGTCTTCTCTCTCAGATGCATTTTGCATGACTGTTCACATTATTTGGCTTTTTCTGTTTTTTTTTGTTGTTGTTGTTGTTGTTGTTGTTTTTTTGCGGATGGACTAGGTTGATAAAATGGTAAATGGTGGCAAACTACATCAGTTGTCCACTTTCTTATGTTATCCTTTTAGTGTTGATAATATTAGTGGCACTGAAATAGAAAAAAATCTGTGTTGAGGCCATATTGTAGGTATGTTTAGAGATCTTTAATTTAGCCTATTTGTAGTTAATTTTGTATACGTGGTATTAATATTAAATAAGGCCCTTTTCCTCAGTGACAGATAGCATTAAGTTATATCTTTCCAGGAGGTTGTTAGAGGCATCACAGTTACTTTTATCCACAGTCTTGTAATCTTACAAAAAAAGATGTATTCTGCGAAATTGTATGTCTTCTCAGACGTACTCTGTGTTAAATTTATTGATTAAAATCTGCACTTACTATTTTATTATCTCATTGTGTTGATGTTTGCCCTTTTAAAAAGTTGGAATGACATTGGTGTCGTCCTTGTCCTTTGTGTTTCACAATTTTCTAACATTTATTCAAAGCTAACAGTAGTTTGGAAAATTAATTTTAACTTGTTGAGGAGTTTATTTGCTGATGGAAGAAAAAGTATTTTATAGTTTAATAATATCTATTTTATTTCCACATATATGTAGTTGTCTTATTTCTTCAGTGGAAGCACATGTAAGATCAATACTATGCTATCTTCCTTTTTTTTTTTTTTTTTTTTTTGGGTTTGCTTTTAGTAGATTCACATGGCTTTGAATCCTTCCTGGGAAGCTTGTCCTCTTCATGCTTCCTAACTTTTCCTCCACTAGAATTAAATACAGATTTGCAAGCTGTTCATGAGACCACTTGTTTCTTGTAGGCTATGACACACATGGGTTCCATTTTAAGTTGTGCTGCCACAGTTTGTAGGGCTTTGGGTGCCTTTGAAGTCAAACCATGGACTTCATATAGGAGGTCAGATTGCTTGTTGATCTAGACTACATTCTTTGGTTTTCCTGTTTTAATTGAACTTTCTAGTGACTGTCCACCACAGAGGCAGGTCTTGGTCATAGGCACAAATGTGGTTATTAAGCTGTTAACACACAAAATGTATTAAAAAAAATGTTAAAGTCATAGACATTTGGAAAAAAATGAAAAAATGTTTTATCTGTTGTAAGGAGTATACTAATGCATTTTAGCACTATCTGTGCTATATAAATAGTTAATTGTTGTAGATGATATATGATAGGTATATAGTTTTTGCATTTGTGCCATCAACAGGCTTTTTAATCACTGTCAAAACCATATTTTTTATGTTTTGCAACAACAGAGATAGTGCCTGAAATGCTTCACTGAATCAAATCCATTAAGATCTGAAGTGACATAGTGAAGAGTAATGCAGACTATAAAGTCTGCATAGTTTCAAATGCAGCAAAAATAGTTAATAATGCAATATAAAAAGGATTTTCTGTAGTAGTATTTCTTTATATAGCAAGCATTTCCTTATGAACTTCAAAGTTCTTGGAAGCAATAAATATTTCACCAATATAAGAGGTGAGAATATTCTAGACAAGTAGAATAAATTCTTTGATAATGCAGTACAAGTTGTTGACCAAAACCTGAGCTACCACTACTTGAGATACCACAGATAATGTAAGCAGACATTAGTTGTACATTAAGATGTAAATTAAAGTGCATTTTATTAAACATTATAGAATATTTAATAAAATCTAAACTTTGAGGGTTACATTTGCTCAAATCATCTTGCCATGCAAGGTCTTAGCTTGGCTTTCGTTTACAGTATCTCATCTCCACTGCTGTAATTCAAGAATGAGAACATTGTAGAGAATGAGAATTCAAGAATGAGAACATTGAGAACATCTTTCCTGTAGGAGTGTGAGCAGCTGCAACTATAGAACGTATTTAAATTTTGTTTCAGTAATGAAAATTACAAACGATTAACTGTTTTTTTTTTTGAATTTTAATGATTTTTGTCTTACAAAAAATTGTTGAGATACTACTGCAATATTTGATGACCTGTTTATAGCTGAAATGTTGTATGCAGAAATGGTTTGTAGTTTATAGTGAGATTCTGGTCCCTTTCATTCCTGAAAAACATTCAAAGACTGAGCCACATCGTATATACCTCTGAAGGATCCCAGTCCTTACCTAGCAGGAGGTAAGGTGTGAGATGGAGCTCACTGTGTTAGCCAGAACCAACCACAAATTACAAGTTTTTGTAAGCTCCTTATAGTAGTTTGTGTTGTGTGTTAAGCACATCTTTGTGCAATTGCAAGGAGAGAACAGAATGACCTAATTTTTTAGATGTAGAGATGTGTGTTATGTTATCTTATGAATTTTACATGACAGGTTCAGTGAGGTCATGTGTGATTGTCCTCCCTGAATTTTCCTGGCTTGGCAATTGCAGGCGCAGAAAATTTCACTCATTATAATAGCTTACGTTAGTAGAGAATCTAAAGAATTGGCCCCTGACATGCTAATAAATCTGTGATACATTCAGGAATGGAGAGCAAAGTTCAGAATTGCTTAAATTGCATAGGAGAGCAGATGGGAAACAGACAGCTTGGGCCCATGAATTGAGTAGAGAGCAATTACTGCTTATTGTATGGGCTCTGTCAATTTTCCAATTGATGTGACATCAATTTCAGTAATTTTACTGGTCTTCTTCCTAGTTTATTTGGCATTGATGGGCAGGAGAAGGAATGAATTTTCTTCTAGCTTCCACTCAGGATATTTCTTCTTTTGTATGTTCTGTTTTGATTTCATTTTGGTATGTGAGGTCACAGTAGTCTGTGTTTTTCTGTGTGCCCAAGGGACAAGTATGTTAACGGTGTAAAAATACTGTAGACTTCACTATTTCTTGATAGTATTCTTCAATTTCTTAATCTTTGGTTTAAATAATAATACAAAATTTGAACAAATTAAACATGCAAATTAAGACTAGGCATAGGGGGTTAGAGCTTTTGAGGTACTTAAAGTAAAAAATTTGTCTTTCTGAAATCTATGATTAAAATGCCTTGGGACTTGCTAACAAAGAGATCATGCCTTGATCTGGTTGTGGGTGCTTAAATATCAAATCTATTTCCTAGCACACGAGAAGTATTCTGCAGAATTTTAATGGAGATATTTGAATTATTTTCTTTAGACCTGTTTCAGCAACTTCTTTTTGAGTAGTACTGGTACTTTTATATCAGTAGACTTCTTTTGCTCATCTGTCTCTTGTGTGAGAGATTCTAAGTGCTTTGAAAGAGAGTTTAAGTGCTTTGTAGGTGTTTCTTTGCTGCTGCTTTCATTTGATTCTGTATTTAAATTGCAGATTGGAAGAGCTGATACGTTGTACTGTCATGCTTGTTAATATCAATATTAATTGATCAATGTAGCACAAATAAAGAAAATGGGCTACTGTGTGCTAATTTCATCCTGCTGCTTCAGAGAGGCGTGTAGTATTTTCTTTGAGGAAGAAAAGGCACGGGGAAGGCTTAATCATCACTCTTCTATCAGTACTTTTGAACTTTCCATTTTTACTGCAGCATATCAGTACACCAACCCTAGTCTTTCTTGTGCCATCAGAATAGCTGTTGTTTTTGATGTCTGACATAATGTGCTTTTACTTCCAACCTTAGTGCATAGCAACTGAAATGTGCTTATAATCTTCTTTCCCCTTACACTGTGCTACATATTCCTGGGTCCGTGGCTGTACTGCCACAGTCATGGTAGCCTATAGCTGATTCTGGACAAACCTATTAGTACCGCCCTTGAAATAATTATTGCCTTGGAGCAAATTTTGTAAAGCTGATGAAGTATTTTTAATAAGTGGGAGGAACATAGGGAGCAGAAAGAAAAACAGAGAGAAGACTGACCTGCTTATTGGTTGTAATTCTATTGCTATGAGCGTTTCGAAGCACGTCCGCAGTACTCAGAAAGAAAAGGAAAGAAAGGAAGAAACTGCTC